TCGTAAAAGTCATATGAAAGTCAAGAGTCTCAGAGCATAGAAAGAGAGACCAATATATTCAAGACACCCAAGTGGAAAGAAGTGTATCGAGCGAACGAGAGAAATAAGCAATAAATCAGTATCCTACCCAAGGGCATACATCAACCAGGAAAAATCCCGGGGATTTTATCTCTTTCCTATTTATGATTTTCTCACTTTCCTATAATCCCTTCATTTCCTTAGTTATAAGTTAAATTTAAGTTAAGTGTAAGTTATGCAAATATTGTATAGTAATTGTTACACACCCCGAGTCACTATTGTCATTGCCAAGAACAAGGAATTTCCCTGTTCAGTGCACCTCCTTGTAGTTAATTTTGTAAGTAGTTGGGATCTGTTAAATAAAACCTGAACCTGTTCTAAGAGAAAAAAAAGGATATTTTGAAGTACAGTGGATTTTACGTAATCTTTTTTTTGTAACAGTTTGCTCATGGATCATACTATCTCTTGTCATGAACGTCACAAAGAATTGTTTTTCTTGTTATACTCTACATGATTCAAAGAATAGTTTGATGACAAAATAAATGGGGGAAAAAATTGAAATTTCTTAACTTCCACTATTTTATTCAAAGCAGTACACTTTGCTGAATGTAGTGCCCAATTACTTAAATAATTATGTCACTCCATTGAGCTCATTGACATGTGGTTTCTGTTTTTTCATACATACTGTACATGTATAAATAAAAAGTGGAAAAATAAATGTATGGAATGTTCAATAATCAGTGATGATAATAAACGTTGAAAACCATACATGAAGTAATAAATGTTGAGAAAGAAAAAAACATTCAGTATTTTATTAAAAAACAAAACAAAACTGAGGGCATGGCTGTCTACTTTTTATTTGTCCTTTGCTTGCCATTTCCAGTAGTTTGTTGTTGGCAAGAAGTGTTTTGTACATAACTGGGCACTCTTCTGTGAAGTTATTATGTATTTAGAGTTCTGCTTTGACAGTGTCTACTTTCAAACAATTTCTGTCATTTCTCCATATCTGCAGTTCGAATATTGGTTTTATGTTTTTCAGTAGTAGCTTGTCTTTCAATCGCACTTTTGCCTTTACTTCCTATTTCCACATCACAGTGGCATACTGTACAAAAGGTATAAGTCATTTTTTTCTGCTTTTGGAAACGAACCCACGTTCTTTTCTAAGATTCTAGAATCTCTAGAATTCACACTTCCTCTACCACAAGATAACTTTTGTATTAAGAAGCTACACGCAAGAACTTAAATCTAAAGTTCTTTTTCATGCATCAAAATGACGTTAATTTGACATCACATCCATGCCACAAAGCTTTGTGAACGAGTTGAAAAAGACTTATGGCACCATTTTTGATGCATGGAATGGATGCTATATGCAAGAACTCAAAAGCAGCTTTAATAAGTAGGCACTACGGTAATGCAAATTCATTCATTTCATCATCATGGTAAGGCTTATTTTTGATGTAGAAAAGTTTTATTCTCTTTGGTTTGTACTAGCCCTATGGCAACGTTATTGCCTGTAATTTTATACTAATATAACTTTTTATTGTATTGGTTTGTGTATAACAGTGTTTCTCAACCTCTAACGAATCGCCGCCCCCTTCAACATAGCATCACTCCCTTCAGTAAAACCGTTACGTAGTATCGCCCCCTTCACTTCAAAATTCTGATGCCGAGGGCCACGCTAACGCCAAATTCGTACTGCATTGAATGGACTAGTGACTAGTCTAATGTTATTTGTTTAATGATTGTACGATATAACAAATAAAATATCTAATTATTCTTAATATAATGTTTTACTATATCGCCCAGAAAATTGTTTTTTCGCCCCCCAAAATATAAATTGTTACTAATCGCCCCCTCAACATAGAAAAACGCCCACATGGGGGCGATATCACCCCCGTTGAGAAACACTGGTGTATAACATTTGTGCAGTCATGTTGTTTAATGCTTTGTGATGTGTCTTAGTACTTTCACCAGTCCTCTGAGTTGATCACTGATTAACAATGGCAAGGTCTACAAACACAAGATGAAGATACCAATGTTCCTTAAGCAGCTGCCGTTTTGGTTTGTTAGTTCCATGGCCATGGAACTAACAAACCAAAATGGCAGCTTGCTTAGTACATGCAATAAACTGCATATTATTTATTTAACGTTAAAGCCATGGGATTTCTTATATAATTTCAAATAGTGTATCCTTTCATTCAGAGGTTATTCTGATATTTACTTCAAGGCTTTAACCTAAATAGATTTCAAAATAAGAAGCTGTGTTAATGGTTCATTAATACAGTAGAAGTATAAATTTATTTAGTTTTGAAATGCAAATTTAGAGAAGAAATTTGGAGATACTTGTTTAAGAAAATATATATTTTTAGTTTTTTTTGTATTCACATATATTTTTACATTACATAAACTGTAAACAGATACATCAGAGTAAACATTTTTATTAAGTGAAATTAGATCAAGATAAAAGAACATTTATCACAAACTTTAGAAGATTTACTGTATATATAGTGTTTTCATACGATAATAAGAAAGTTCCTAAATGAGGGTAGTTATGCATATAAACTAAATTTTAATTATTTTTATAGAGAATTACATAAGTATTTTTATAAAAATTTATTAAACAGTAGACAATACTAACAAATAGAAATAACTTCATTTAATCTGTTTATTTTATAATAAAATGATTGTTAAGCAACATAATTATTCATTTGTAATATAGTAAAAATTACATATTTTATTATTCTCAATTAATATTTCATAAATTTTGAAGGATGTTTTCAGTTCACAAACAACATATTGTTTCATATTTATGCATCCATCTAGCTGCAGTCTTCAAATTTCCAATATATAGTATTGTAATTTTGGTACTATAAATATGTACAGAACCAGAATTTTAAAAATGTTATTTATTGACAAATTCTTATTCTGTTTAATAAGTTACTTTGTTATACAACCTGTCAGAAAACGGAAACTTTATCACAAACACAGTCTATAGATTGGTACTGAGAATCATGCTTTGATGTTGTAATTTAAACATAGTTAATTAAAAACGCTTTAATGATGCATAACTGTGTTTCATGTATATCTGTGTATGTATTTCAATTGTTATTTTAAAATGTAAAAATAACAATTGAAATACATAATAAAAAGTTCAGTTAATTGAGACTGGGGGGAAAAAACAAAAACAGATATAGCCAAATTCATTCTAAAAACACTATGTTATGCCCAAAGTTTGGCCAATTCTCAAATTGGCTGGCTATTTTGCACTTTGGCTGAGAGCTGTGGCTGAGGTCCAATGTATTTGAAATGACTAGTGTATATGCTACTTTGGCCGGCCATTTAACAAAGTGGTAGGAAATCCCTGGACAAAATTCAACGTGCTGTTGCAAGACTGTCTGATAGGCAACATGTGTGAAAAAATAGAGGATGCTATAAATGCAGGGACTGCCTCTGAAAATGAAGCTGCTGCCATGTTGGTGAAACCATCAGAAAGTCCAGACCAGTTGCCTGACAATAACAATGGGAAAAGATACTGTATAGTGTATGAAAGAGAATGTAGTTCGGCCTATTCTTATGGATCCTGCAACAAAGTTGTTTGTGCAATTTGTGGAATAAGAAATGAAGCAGACAAAGGGTATGGAGTGATAATTACTTGTAGGCTATGTCATAATAAACAAGAAATCAGGAAGATGATGTCAACAGCTCATGCTAGTTTGAAAGCTCAAGGTGCGAAGATGCTTAAAAATTCAGATGCAAAATTCCCACCAGCAAAAGTTGGAGATGATGTACACATCAGTATACTAGATGTTGACACAGGTTGTGGTGATCAAAGAAGTGTTCTTGCAATTGTCACAAACATGAAGGACTCTTTTTACAAGCTAGAAACAAAACATGGTGTTCTCAAACAACTGTATTCCAGAAGTGAGTTTTTCCATTCTGCATGAGAAACTGCTCACACTGGAATCTGTGGGCACAGAAGAAAAGTCACTATGAACTGTTGCGTCTTGTATGTAAATTTTGACAATTGGGAGGCTTAGCAGTGATATCTGATACAATTTGCAAGAGAGATGCTCTTCAAGTTTGGTTTAACTAGCTGAAGCTGCCTTAACAGTAGGCTGAAAACATCCTTAATAAATTCATATTTTTTGTTTCTTTAACAACCAGTTTGAATTTCATTTTTATTTACCATTAAATAAGATGCCAAGTTTTGTTTGGTTCTCAAAATGTTCAAAATTGTGGTACAAAAGCATATCAGGATGGACTCTTTCTGGTATATCTAATGCCATTTGTTGATACAACAGTTCTTGAGACTGTACTTGTTCATAAGAGTATACTCTTACTCAATTGCAGTTTCCCCCTCTTTCAAACTGTTGTCAATTTGAAACCTGTTAACCACTTTCAAAACAATGTTATCCTGATCAAGTGCTGTGATCAAGTGCTGAAACTCTATATAATATTATATTATACTTTTGTTGACTTTGGACATTCTTGTGAACTATATTAATTCTGTATAAACAGAAAGTCCATCTTTATTTATTGAAATTTCCACTTAAAATGGAATGACTTTTGTTCAAAATTAATATAGACAAGACATATAGATGGCTATAGTCACAGCGACTGTAGTCTACATTTAAATATGGATTATCTAATTTTCCTATATAATGTAATCTGGCTTAACCTGAATATGTTGGACTCTGTGTTGTCCCTTACTATTTGGTGAACCATTTGCACTCCTTATTGAAATGCATATATTTTTGAGTTCTAAAATTTCAATATTCTTTTCAGCTATGCATTCTATTAGTTTTCTTCTTTTCATTCAATATCAGTGTACATCATTTCCCTATATTTTATTTGAATTATAGTAAAACACAATAAAGTTTTCAGATCTATGAACATCAAATTTCATACAAAATTATTATTTTAATTATACAAATTCAAGAATTATGATACTATATTTGAGGTTTTACTTTTTTCTTCTCTAGCCTGTGGAAAAGTTACCAAAACAAAGTGAACAAATAACCAAAACAGCTGTTAAGTTTGGATGGATTCAGGGTGTATTGGTAAGTGGATAACTTCTTTATCATTCAAAATAGATTTATAGAAAGATTACAAATTTATATACAGTGTATATATATAAAAGATACATAAAGATATTTGTATATTTGGATATAATGATAATTTAATTTAGCTGCTGTTTATATAATTGTTATATTAGTAAAAGAGAATTTTTGTCTAGTATTTTTTTTAATCTTACATGTTTCTAAACAATACATAAATATTAAAACTCTTAATGATTTCCTATAATTTCAAAACGTAGAAAATAATTAAATTCATTCTCTGTACATTTAGAATAGTTAAGAAATATTAACAATTTGAAATGTTTATTTGATATTTAAATAAGTATTTTTAAATTATAGGTAAGATGCCTGCTAAATATATGGGGTGTTATGCTTTTTCTCAGATTGTCTTGGGTTGTTGGCCAAGCAGGCATTGGTAAGTATGATTAATACAATGAATTGCTATATACTTTTATTATATTCATGTGCTTTTCACATTTATTAAAACAAAAATGATTGAAGTACTTACATGAAAGTAATGAACAAAATTATGAGGGTTAAATATATGATTTAATGATTGGAATCTACATATTTTCTCATTTTTTCTTCACTTACACGTTTCATTATATTCTGCTCTAGCTATAGCTTAATCAGTTTTAGATTGTTTTTAACACTACATTTTAGCAGTAATATCTGAATGTAATTCTCCTAGGTAACTTTATTAATTATTTATTTTATTATTGAGTCTTTTCCATCTCTCAAATTATAAATTTTACATTTTTAATGAAGTCTCCATTTTTCATATATTATTTTATTTATTTTTTGAACACAGTTTCATTACTATATACAGTGAAAACTCCATTTAATGGACACTCCTGAATAACAGAACATCTCCTCTTAACAGACATTTTTATTATCCCCAGACCCTTGAAATAGGACATCCATTTTATTTACCTCTAAATAGCAGACAAACTTCTTGGTCCTGACAGTGTCCATTATTGGGATGTTACATTACAGTATTTTTTTATTTATTTAGATATACGGTATAAATATAATTAGAAATAGTAAGCTCTTTTTGCAAAATTGCGTAATATTATGTGAAACATCTGACAAATCATGATAGCATATTTAACCATATACTGAAAATATACATGACTAGTTGGGCTACAATTTGAAAAAATTGTAGACCTATAAATTCCCACTGTCATCTGTCCATTTCTTTTCTTAATCTCAAGAATAGTGTTAGATAGATGAAAGTCAAGACCAGATATGGAACGCTTAGGGACAGGAGGCCCCAATTAACTATATAAGAACCACATGAATTCATTTTAAAAATTTTCCCTTGAATGGAGGTTACGTAGATGACCAGATGATTCTGTTATCAGGAAAAGTATGATGTACAGGGGCAAGACACTACTAATTTAAGATAGAGAACATATTCTTAATTTATTCAATTTTAAAATATGTCATTAAAAATTGCATTCTGGTATTGTGACGATGGTACAATAAATAATTGTTTGTGTTAATTTAGAAATGTCTGTAGAAATTTCTAACAAAATTTGACAAAGTGCATTGGGCACATGGCTTCTAATGAAGTCATGTGTCCATGCCCAGTGTAATAGTGTTCTAATACAAGAACAGTAACACATAAGTATATATTAGAGCATCTTTAAAAACCAGCAATGTTATAAAGCTACAAAAAACCAAATGATATTACTGTAATGATTAAATTAAAAAAATACAAATTGAATTTTATGAAAAAGATATAAAAGATCTAATACTTATTCTTGCCAAAATTTAATAGCACCAATTCTCCTAATACACAAATCTTCCTGCAACATTTAAGAAATATTTTTACAAAAAGTGCAAGAGTTATTAAGCTTCAAAGTGGGTGAACAAATTCATGTCCCCTACCATACACACTCACACTAACAACCACCATATGCAAAAAAATTCAGGGGTTTTACTGTATTTCTTGATGTTTCAAGGTCTTTTAGTCCAAAACAGTAAAAATATTAATTTTTTTTAACTTATACCGCAAAAGTTATGAACAAGGTACATATACTCTGAAAATTTATTGATAGTAAAATTGACAATTATAACTCTTCTAGTGTTAAATCAAGAATTGAATATTTGATAAAGTTGGTGGAACTAATTTAATCATTACTTTCTCATAATAACAGGAAGTCCTCTTAATGTGTGTCAATATAAGATATACTATTTTATAATTCATATGATAAAACAGATTTTTTTATGTAGATGTTGTAATTAAAAATTATAAATATGAAATAACTATTCATATTCTAATATCCTATTAATAATGAATATTATTTAGGTTTAGGATGTGTGGTAGTTTTGCTTGCTACAGTTGTTACAGTTATCACATCTCTTTCAATGTCAGCCATCTGCACAAATGGAGAAGTAAAAGGAGGTAATGAGAAAATATTGATATTAGAATAATATTTTAAACTTAATTAAATGAAATTTAAAAATTATTTAATTTATACTTCTTGAAACAATCTAGTTATATTTAAATTATTGAGTTTTCCAAACTTAAATTTTTCTCATACTCAAGCTTGTGTGACTGTATAGAACATTTTCTTCAAAGAACAATTAATCCATCAATTTTTTTAATATTTTAATTTAGCTATTAGATAATTAGAAAAATTGTTATTAAAATTAATAAAATTTAGATTATTAAATATTAATTTAAAGATTATATGCTAGAAAACACATAATGAATCAAAACATAATTGAATGTTAAAATTGGATTTTGTAATAACTATATTATTACATGTAATCAACTGAAACATGATTTATTATTAGAAATTACCAGAACTTTTATGTTTTTAAATTTTTTCTAGCTCTGTCTTCAGATTTTTTGCAAATGTATATTTTATTTTCTTTGTTTAAGTTTATTAAATAAAATGAGAGTATTTAATTTCAATAAAATCAGTATTTTTCTTTAGTCTAAAAGTTTGAGACCATTTTGTTTATTTAAAAATATATAATTGTACTCATCTTACAACATATGAGAAAAGAATATCTAAAATCAAATTTTTTGCCTTATTTTTAAAAATTTTATTAAAACTATAAAAATAGAGAACATAATTTATTTTAATTCAATATTCTTTGTGTAATGCCAGTTTTTCTTATTTGAAGTTAATACAAAAATATAGTAGCTCTCAGTATTTGTAAGAAAGATTATTGTGATTATATAAATTTAGACACTCAGCAATTATTTAATTTCAAATTATTTTCCTGTTTAGATATTGGTAATAAATATCTTAATCATAAATACCAATGCATCACCAAATATCAACTCTCTACATGTACTCCTTCATACCTCCTATGCTGATAAGAACAGGTGTCAGTACGATTTTATAAACAAGAGTATTGTCATAAATTTTATTGAGTTTTCTAACTTCAGATTAAAACAGAAATATAAAATAGTTTTGCAATTTAATATCTGTAGTTAATATATTACAGTGTGTAAAATTTTTAAATATATAATGTTTTACATGAATTGTCTTTTTATATATTTAACAGGAACATATTAAAACTTTCAAGGTATCTGCTTTTTCTTTAATAAAATTGTTAGTTTTCTTTAATATAATGAATCAAATATGATAATTGAATGTTAGAATTTTTCAAAAAACATTTAAGCTGCTTAATTGTTTCAATAATTGTTTGTGTTTGAGAAGTCCTGCACACAAGTCTTACTTTTTACCCTCTGCTCAATTGGAACACATTTCATACAGTTTATAGAAATTATAAAAACTGAGATTTATTAATTGAAATTATATTCTTCTATCAGATAACATTATTATTTTCTGTATTTGAATCTTGTCTTAATCTTGATGTATAAAAGATGAAATAAGTTTCAATCAAGTGAAGAGCAAAAAAGTATGACTCTTGTTCCTTGTCTGCAAAACTTCTCAAACATTGAAATAGTTGAGTAGTTTTAAAAAAGAAAGTTGATGCCATAAAGTGAAAATGTTAGTTTATTCCTGTTGGCAACATTTTATATAGACTTTTTTTTCTTAAATTTTTTGTATTTGAAAATTTTATGAAATTCATAGCACATTATCTGTGGATTTCATTTGACAGTTATTTACAAATTAATAGTGCAATCATATATCATTTATTATATACTTTTCAGAGAATAATTTTTTTAATTTTTTATGTATGTAATCAACTATAAATAAATCCAAAATATTGGATTATTATTGAACATTTTTTATTAGAAATTTAGATGAAAAAAAACTTATTGCATATAGGAATGTCACTATATCATAAAAAATTCTTTTTACTAATTAATGATTTAATAAATTAATCATTCAGGGGGCGCTTCTGTCCTCCGAAGCTGCTGGCGCGTTTTTTTACTCACTTCAATTATAGGTAAAGATGTATCCTGTCAAATAATTTTACGTTAAAATATTACTTGTTTGTGCTGTGTGTTACATTATAACTGTTGGAAAATCTATCAACATAATTAATATGCAACGCTCGCCAATTAAAAGAGGAAGACCACCACTTCAAAAGTCAAAATTAACTAGTAGAAAGGAATCTGTTTCAACCACTAATACTAGGTTAATTACTGACTATAATTTACATGTCGAAAGAACTTCTCCTGAACCATCTTCTGCAAACGCAGATTTGAACCCTGAAACTACACTTCTACGTTCACAACTATCAGGTGAGCCATTTGATTTTTTGTCTTCTTCGCCAGGAAAAAATTCATCTGATATATCAAGTATAACACTATGGAATAAAATTTCTGAATTAATTAATGTTTCTAATACGAGAATATTAAGTCAAATGACTATTATCAAAGAAGATTTGGACCAGATTCGTAATAGTATCCAAGAAACTAAAGTCCAGAATCAAAAAATGAATAGCCAAATAATTAATCTTGAACAACAAATTGCTAATTTGAAAATAGAAAATGAAAGTATGCAATATCGAATGGACAATATGGTTAATGTGCAACATCGAAATAATATAATGTTATATAGATATCCCAGTAAAACTAGTCCTACCAAGCTAGAAGTGTTTAATCTTATTAATGAATCATTAGAATTACACGAAGTTACAATGGATGACTTAATAGCGATTATTCCAATAACTAAATCACAGTATCCAACAATTAAATTAATTATTAAAAATATCCAAATAAGAGATTACATATATTCGAGATTTATAAAAATGAAACAGAAAAATCTATCGAACGTATGGAAAGAAACTCAAATTTCACAGGACCTTATAAAAAGATCTAGATTAAGACGTAAACAACTAATTCCTTTTTTAAGCGAGTTAAGGAAAGCAGGTAAATATCCAAAACTCCGAGGTGATACTATACTGTTGGGCAATTATTCTTTGACGTATAGCTATGTGTTGGAGGGGCTGGTATACTTGGACTCTTTTACCCTGTATTTTACTTCTGAGAACTCTCCGCAATGACATTTGATCAAGTTAATCACTCCTATTCAAGCCTTACGTTTTGTTGAGTCTTAATTATTAAGTTCCTTGCTTGCTGCACATAATAATAATTGAAGGTTATATCGGATATATGAATTTAAGAATGAAAATAATAAAAGCATTATTTCAGTTTAAAAAAATAAATTATTTACATTAATGGCATTCAGTCAATATAGTTAAGCCAAAAATTTGTATTTCAATCCATTAAAATTTAAGAAATCAAATTACTATAAAAAAATTTCAAAAAAAATTTTAGAAAATAAAACTAATGAACCTTTAAAGTCTACGATTAAGAAATTTATGATGGTTCAACTGTGATTAATCAATGCAAATAGATTCTTCTAGATGGCTAGCTTTTTTTAACAGATTTACAGAAATTATGGTCCTTCTTATGCTGATATAAAAATTTCTTTCAACGAAAGTTTAGATATACTAATATCTACCGAAGAACTGGATATATCAATTCGTAAATTAAAAATGAAAACAGCTCCTGGAATGGATATAATTACCACTAAATTTATTAATTTCTTCTGCCAGCAGGTAGATAAGTTCTATTTGATTTTTACAACCATTTTTACATAACATTTATTATTTTCTTACTGAGTGTCCAAAGAAAGAAGAAGCATAAAGTAAATTTAAATTAAAAGAGATTTTTGATTTAAATTAAGAAGAAAATTTCAGAATCAATCTAGAAAAAATTTCATTGATAACTTAGAAAACATTTATATATTCCTTATTTTTCAACACTTGCTGAGACATTTATCCAATTAAGCAATCAAGTCTTCTATTCCTTTGCAAAAGAAATGTCAGTTTTGAGATTTCAGTCACTGGTAGATCTTGTGTTCAACGTTCCCTTCTATCTGAAACTGTCTCACTGGAATCATCTGGTGACAGCAGATATACTGCTTTGAGTTTGGCAAGAAACTTAATTCAGATGAATGTCTACTATATCATAAATCAACTAAAATGACTGTTTGAGGTAAAACATGTCATATTTTGCTATAAATGCTTAACCAATTCTGTGAGTTCTGATTAAAACTGTATCTGCTTTAAAGTTATAAACTCCTTTTTGAATCATTCTGTGCATATTTAATGTTGAATGATGCATCCCTAAGCTAATATTTCAGTATCTGAATGTTTTCATTTGCAAAAGTATCTCCATTTATATTTGGATAATTTTCAGCAAATTCAATTTCAATTTCCACATCATCTAATATAAAGCATTTTTCTAATAATATTTAATCACCTTCATTAATGATGACTTTTTTCTCTGACTTTTCTCTATAATCTTACTACTGTTCAGAGTTTATGTTGCCTATTCTCAATGATACTATTAATATTTCTCTGCAAGCATTCATTAAAATATTTTCTTTGTATTGCTTTCATCTGTTTATTTAAATAAATTGTTTATTTAGAATTATTTTTACTATATTTGACAAATTCTAATCATTCATCCCTGAAAAAACTTTCTTCACACAATCTTCATTCAAAAACATTTCTGAGTAATTCTCCACTTCATCTTAACTTCTTCTACTTTAGTCATAGCTTCAAAAATTTTTATTCTTCATTTCTTTCAACACCAATTTTCCACTTGTTTACAATCAGCTACTAAATCTCAATACAATATTAATTTTCTACACATATGGAGCCTATATGAAGCCCAAGATTCAAAAAATTCAAAAATATGTATATTTTATTTTTGAAGATAGTCTAATGCTCAGTTTTAAAAGATGTTTAAAATTTGATATTCTCTATATATTCTCCAAAAATTTTTTATAATTTTCATGAAATTTTCTTCTATGTTTACTCTCTGTTTTGTTAAACATTTACTATAATTTAGCAATATGTTTAATGAAACTTTCTATACCATCTTCAAATTAAACCTAACTATTATTTAACTCCAAAAACTAAAAATATACAANAGTCCATGTAAGTCTCATGTATGTTCTTTTACAATTTTATAACATTATTGTAAAAAATTTTTTACTAATTTGTACCCGTTATGCTAATTTTTCCTGCATAGTTGTAACACGAGTTGAAAAGGGATAGAATTATCCGAAATGCATTCTCAAATAAATAAAAAATTTTTCTAAAGTTTGTTTTCCATTTCATTGATGGTGTAATAAGTCTAGTGAAAAAGAAAAGCCGTCTTAGAGCTCGTATATTTGTACACAAGACTAGACAAGAAGCATATCGCATAATTAAAAATATCTGTTTCAAAGCCAGTTATGAAGTGGAAGTGTACTGAAATGTTAATGTTTTAACTGATTCACGTTGTTTCAGAGTGAGATTATACTGTAACTTTGTAAAGGGGAAAAGTTACATTTATATATATCATAGGACTACTAAGTCTTAAATTTTAAATTTGTTTTAAAATATTTACATAATATTTAACTATTAATGTAGTATACAATACTTTTTCAGCATCATCAAATAATGTGCCAGATTTATCATTTCAAAGGCAAAAATATAGTGAATTTAATTAATAATTCCCCTCATGAATGAGACTAAGAATGGATTTTGTATAGTTTATTAAATAGTACAGTAGATGCAAAAATATATTTCAAAATGGTTTCCTATATTAAATTTTGAATTAAGTCACAAGGTAGTCAAGTTTTTTTATAAGTAGTTCCATACTTTTTTTAACACTATAACTGGAACCTGTTACTGGTGTTCCTCGTGAAAAAACACAGTCTATCACAAACATTTTCAAACTCTTGAATAGTTCTTCCTCAGGTAAAATCCGATGGAACACTTCAAAATAGAAAGTAAATATTTGAAATTAAATTGAATGTCTGTATGATTAAATTAGTTGCCCTGGGCATGCGTGCTTGTGCATGGGTGGTGGTTATTAAAGTTTGTCATTTATGAGGGCCTGCCAGGCTACTGATAGATTAAGCTCCTCTTTCCACTTGATGCAGGCGGTCAGGTAACTAACTTTGTAAGTGGATATGGCTTCTAGCCATTTTAGATGCTCCAGGTGTTAAATGTTAAGATCTATGACTGTAAGAATGTTAGATTATAAGTACAGTGGGTGATTGGTTAACGAACAAATCGGATAACGAACACTTTCGTGAAAGATTTTTATGATCGGACAACGAACATATGTTCGGATAACGAACACTTCACTGAACAAACATAAAAAGAAGCGACGAAAATAGCAAATACCAATTGATTTTCCCTTGTCTTCAGGCAACAATTTTAAACTTTTCGGAGCGCTAGAGACGTCAACATCGACACTCAACTGTATAATATACTGATCAGATAGTATTCCTCCGAACTTTGAAACTCTCCCTTGTAATTTCAACCTTTTATTTTTCTGACAGAAACAATTCTTTTATAGTATTCGCGATAATGTCGGGTGGGCACTCGTTAAGTGTTGCATCGAGTTTTATTTTTGAAAGGTAAAATAGCAAAGGTAGAGAGTAGGCAGAAGACGTCTGATGTTGCTGGGCAGTATGGCTTGAACAAATCTACAGTAAGGTGCAGTTCAATCTTATCTAAGAAAGATACAGTATAATCAAGAAGATGTCACATCAGTTTTAGATCAGATAACAGATGAACTCCAAAAACTCTCAATTGAAAAAGAGGAAGACAAAAGAGGACCAATGTCGACATTTGATACTAGAGATCTTTTGGAGAAGTTGGAGGATGTCAGAACAACGATCGACCAACTGGCATTCAAACTAGAATAGGGTTAATGGTGTTGAGGATCTACAATTACAATACTATTAATTACTTCCGAAAAATCCTGAAGTAAAGAGAAAAGCAATCGACATTGGACAGATTCTTTAATCCCCCACAAACGGAAAAAACATGATTAATAAAAATGCAAGACTGCATATATATGTATTTTTACTATTACATATAAATTAATGTAGTAAAAAAGCATATATTTTTTATTTTTTTGGAGTCTCCGGAACAAATTAATCAAATTCCCATAGAAACTTATGGTAAATTGATAATCGGTTAACGAACAATTCAGGTAACGAACAAAGTCTTGGAATGGATTATGTTCGTTAACCCATCACCCACTGTATTTGTGTAAGTTGCTGTTCCTTAAATGGAATAGTTTTTATTTATATAAATAATTTTTAAAAAATCTTTAAGTTGTATTACTTGCATTAAACCAAGTTGTACTGATGAGAAGAAACATTTTTATTGTTTTTCGAAATGCATTTACAGTTAAAAAATTCACAATAAAGGATATATTAAATATCAAAATATTGTATTATTTTGATTGATTGCCTCTATAAAAATTGGGTCAAGAAAAACTATTGTTTAGATGTTAATCTAAATTATACTTATTTAGTAAGTAAATAGGTAAATATATCTGGTTATTTGGAAGAGTAAAATAGAGCAGATTTGAATATTATAAATCTGTTCTGCATAAATTCTCTTTTAAAATTTTAAAATTTTTTCTGCTGTTTGAGTGCCTTCAACATTACAGGTAGTTAGGCTAATGCAGTGGTGTAGCTACAGTCTCATCTGCCCAGGGCAGTCTGTCAATTGCCACCCTCTTTTTGGAAATACATAATATGCATCAAACTATTTAGACATTTTTCAATGAGTTGTATAATTTTTGAAATTGTTAACTCTTGGAATAGTTGATAATTTTACTTTTCTTATTATTAAACCAGTGTTTAAAATTTTTTTAATGCCAAAAATGCCACCCTGAAAAAAGTGCCACTCACTCATCGCTATGCCACTGGGCTAATAAACGTAATGTTAATTCAGATTTTATGCAAATTAATCCTTATCCTGATAATGACAAGCAAACATAACTTAAGTTAAATAACACAATTTGTTTATCAATAAGTTGAGTAAAACAGCGTTTTTATCATATGTTTTCAAAAATATTAAAATTAGAGAAGTATATAAGTTAAAATCAAAATATTTGAACTTTTCACACTTTTTAATAGTGATGCACTTTGCTTTAATTGAATGTTTGTATGTATGTTATATGTAATTTTTAATTATTAATATATATATTAAGACACACACACACACACACACACACACACGAGTTAAAATTGAAAATATTATTTCAAGTAACAGCAGATCTTTTTATTTTGACATGGAAAACTTTACTTTTTCATTTATACTTCAGAATAATAAAAAGGATTAATATTCATAATTCTTATGTTTCTATTTAGAAATTGATAATCTGTACTTAGCACTAGTTAATTAATTTTAATTTATGATACATGAATACAGATAGAAATTAACTTGCATGTAAAAAAACCAAAAATCACTTTTGGCATTACCAAGGGTGAAAGCATTAAAACTATAAAGTTTTGTTGTAAACAGACAAATGTAATATAGTCTTTCATAAACCACATCAATCAATCATTGTGAGGGAAAAAGTACTGGCATCTTTCTTGATGGAAATTTTATATAATGTCTACATATAAAATTTTAGATGTAATTTAGTTATAAGTATTCAAATTAAATACTCATAAATATATGAAAGAAAATATTTTTGAACATAACAATGGACATGTTATGGATAAAAATATGAACTTATGTTGGAATTATAAATATCAATTGAACTTTCATTCATGCAATTACTTAAATTAATGCATGAATTGTTATAAAATGCTAAATGTTAATTATTAATATTTATATTTAATTTTAAAATAATTATTTTTCTATATTACTTGTTAATATTTTTATATATTGAATTAATGTTATAAGAACGAAAAATAAACGACTAAGTTTTTTCAGGAAAATAAAGCCCAAATTTTTGAAACAAAAATGGATGATATGCGAATAATTAGCTGTGTAACAGTAGTATTTCTCTTAGGAATTGCTATTATTGGAACAGAATGGGAAACGAAGGTAAATTGTTCTAATTTTAATTCAAAATTATATTTTAAAAGATGTTCAAATTAATTTAATTACTGAATATTTAGAATATTTTTACATGGAATTAATTTTTAAAATGATAGTCAATCTTGTTTTTATTTGACACTTTAATTGTAACTGAAATTATTATAAAGCTACTATTAGTTTTGAAATATTTACAGAATTTTTTTTCTAGTTTAGTCAATTTAATAATTGATTCACATTTTCAATTGTAGCATTTCAAAGTACAGTAGAGCATCGATTATCCGAGTAGAGTATTGATTATTTGAAATTTTCCGACTAGAACGGTCGGTTAACCGATGTGACGGTTAATTGACCGTTCTAGTCGGCAAATTTCAAATGTCCGCTAGTGATGTGGCATTACAATATTTGGCTATTTCTTGGCTACTTTAATATTATTTTTGTTAAATTTTTGCGTGTTTTAGCTGGCATCAACAGCTCGACCATTGAAGGGAGGCCAGTATTTAAACGAGATTTAATTTTCTAATTATGAGTGGTTGTTTGTTTCGTGAGCAATAAAACAATTTAAAAATAATTTTTAACGATACAATAGTGACGATTATTATTTTTAAAAAAAATTTGTTAGGCTAAACATCAATGAAAATTCAACACGAAGTTGGTTAATAGCGATTATACTAATAAACTAATTACATGGGATATACTAATATCCTAATATACTCTACTAATAATGTATCTTTTCCCTTCTTTTTGGTTATCCGATTTTTTCAGTTATCCAACCAACCTGAGTCCCCAATCGAGTCAGATAATCGATGCTCTACTGTATATATTTTTAAAGTTATTGTAAAAACTTCTTTATATTACATTTTTCTTCTGTGAGAGGACTATTTTTATTTACATCCATTGCTTATTTTATCTGGTCTGCAATGAGGTTGGCATGAGAGAGGCCTGAAAATTGAGCCTTCATGAAAATTTAAGATCTAACCTAGACACAAACTCAAATCCTTCAGAGTGGCATGTTTGCTGCCTCATACATCTGCCTATTAACACTTCTGTATTTTTTAAAAAATGTTTATAATTAAGTTCTTCTTCATGTTGTTATAATAAGAAAGAAATTACTTTCATTTATCAAACCTTTTCTTTCTTATGGCATCTCATGACAAGCCCTGCAGAACTGCATCATACAAAAGAAAAATAATCAAAAAATAGTATTTCAATTTTTATTACATTTTAAACTTTTATATAAGTACTAACTTTACAAATAAATGAATAAATGACTGCTAATTTCAGGAAATATATAAAATTATCATAAAACTCTACCTATCATTTTTGTTACCCTGTGAGATAGGAAATATTCTAGGTATAATGTAAAATATAAAATGCCTCTCTTTAGAATAACATTGTCCTATCCTGACATTGTTTAAGAATTAACATGTGGGACCAGAGGTTCATAATCATGGTGTAGGACTGTCTTAGCCAGTTCTGTAGTATACCTATTATTTTGTGTCTTTCTCATGTTCTTGAATGCATATCTGGAGCATTCTAGTAGTAGCTCCAATATAACTGTCACCTCTGAGAGGTATGCAACGGTACGGCATGCATCCCTGATTTTTCCAAAAAGTTAACTTTATCTCTATCATTGCATAATAGCCTAGGTAAGGTAGATTGGGAAGCAGGTGGAACAATAAATTTGAATTTTTTGAATTGTCTCACTAGCTTCCCAACCTATCTTAATGGGTAATTACTGGATCTGTAGTTTCTGTTTAGACATCAAACTTGCAAGGTCTAAAATATCAAAGAAACTATTCTTGCATAAGAGTTCATAAAATATCAAAAAACTTTAATAAACTATAAATGTACAAGACTTTCTGTCTAAAAATTATAATTTGTAATATTTTTAAATTTTATACTAATTATTATTATTAAGATTTCAAATTTAGTATTTACAATAAAATTACAATTATTCAAATTTTAATTAACCTGATTACAGTCAAAACTTAGCAGAAGAAAAACCCGTAATTAGCACCAAATCAATCACTTAAGCACTTACAATTCAACAGCTATATACTGAAAAGCAGTAATGAAGACTAACTTGCTATGTCAGTTTGACAATGGTACTTATAGCTTGTTAATTTGCATATTTGAACTTGCTTACAAAGATTAAAATGTTTCTTAATAGATATTAGTAGAAACACAAGTTATCTAGTTACAAAAATATAAAGAATATTATTTAATATTTTACCTTTATACCTAGAATATTTTCTATCTCACAGGGTAACAAAAATGATAGGTAGTGTTTTATGATAAAATTCTACAAAATTCTGTATATATAACTTAACATAAACTTTACTTATAATATTTCAGCATTTGTAATAAAACTTTTGATGTTCACACAACCAATTTATAAATTTAATCAATTTAAGTTCATGTGAGAGCTGAGGGGGTATGACTATGTCGTACCTCCGTGGATCAGCTTCCAAGTCGGAGGGACTTGCCCACTTGTCAGAGATGGCTTAAATTTTTAGTTTATTCTGAAGGAACGGGACTACTTTTTCAGGTCGAGTTGGGTGTAGGAGGGAAGAGTGCCATCAGTGAGGTGACAGGCGATATACAAGTAAAAGAGGATACCAATTTAACAAGGACAATTTAACGATTTATTAGTTATCTATATCAGGTGTAGCCAAACTTTATCCCTTAGGGGGCTACTTTTTTGGTAAAATATAGTCTGAGGGCGACTATGAATATGGGCAAATAATTTTAGGATTTTTATATGAGCATGCATTAACATTCATTTGCATTGTTCATCGGGATAAATACAAACAGTATGGGTATGTTGCACAGACAGTCTATTGTAAGAACAAGTTATCAAATTAAGAATTTTAAACATTAATTTAAGTGAAAGCAAATTATTCAACTTTAGCTTTGCGCTACTTCGGGCTTCTTTCAAAACCTTTGCGGTTGACCGTGGTCTATGTGTTGGCCATCCCTGATCTGTATAGACAGAATTTTCCCTTGATAATAGGTATTGTACTGAGTCCCTAAAGCGCAAAGGGGCCAAGATAGAGTTCACAGAAGTTGGTTCCATACCTCCTTTATGTATTTGGATATCCTGGCAAAAATAAGGTAATCCACAGAGTCCTTGAAGGTTGAATAAGGGCACAAAGTTATATCTAAATCCAAGGTTACTTGTCTTTTCTACTGTCGATCAGCGACTCCCCGAAGGGGGGAGAGAAGTGGCTTTTATCGTTTTGCGGTGGGAAAACTGTCATGTGACTAATTAGTTGCGAGGTAAAAGGTGTGCAGGGAAGTCAGAGGTGTCCCCGGAACCCAAATAAAATGCCGAAATCATATCTTAACTATCAGCTTTTAAGTTCGTAGTGTGGTGGGAATATTGTTGAGATGGGCAAATATTTACTTTGAAAAAAGGGGAGGTTGAAATTTCTCCCTCTTTCAAGTTGTTTTCCACTCTAGTTTCTAGAAAAAAAAATCAGTAAATTCCGGATTTCACAATAGGTTCAGTATTGACAGGGATAAAAAAGGAAACTATGGGAAACATTTTTTACAGAGTTCTGTTTAGCCATATTGTCAGATGACAAATTAAACAAAAATACATTCAGCACTAAAAATAAAACTGTATTACATTATGGAAATAAATTATCAAACAGAATTAAAATAGGAAATTTTTAAATAATTATGAAAGATGTTATTTAACAAAATAGCTATAAAAAATACAGATATATTTTTTTTCATACTGTGGACAACCAAGCCCGTATTTGAGTGAGCTCTAATAAAGCAGAATTTTTGTTATATTTTAAAGAATTCAGTTGTCATTGAATTGAGAAAATATTTTCTCATATAATAGAAGAGATAAAAAGAAAAAATGACAAAAGTGACTAATTAGAATGGATTGGACAAAAAAAAATAAAAGGTTAATGGAAAAATTTATTCTTTAAACTGGCTTTTTTAGAGGTTATATTTCTCACTATTTGTGTTCTTATGTTCTGTATACTGTCATTAGGGGTATTCACAGTAAATAGAAAAAAAAAATTTACTATATACAATGAACAAAAGGTCACAATTTCAAAAATATTAGTTCACATGAGAAAAATGTTGAAAATAACACATCTGTTTAACACAAAGATAGTTTAAAAACTATTTTGCTCACTTTCTGAAATTTTTTAAAGCAATTCCAGTCCAGTAATGTCCAGTCCAGTAAATCCAATTCCTGTAATGGTGTTATGAATCAGACTGCATGGAGTGCCAAGTTCAATAATCTGTGTTATTTTGTACAGTGAATAAACATGTTTGAAATTGTCATTTTTGACAAGTGAAAGCATTATATAATATTGTTCCCGATGATGTATTATAGAAACCTGAAATAATAAGAAATAAACTGCTTTTTTTAGGAATTTATAAGAAATAAGTTGATACTGGAGCTGTTTTTATGTTTAAGTAATGTAAAAATTGTTCAATAAACTGGAAGAAAAATTAATACAAATATTCCACCCTATTTTGGACATTAAGTCATTTTAGAACATTACAGCAACACTTTGCAAAATTAAATGTGCGCCATATTTTCTTGCAATTTTTTTATTTTTACTTGACAAAAAAGTTTGAACAAGTATCCATAAATTCATTGTTAAAGTTTTGATATTTATTTATTCTGTAAAAGAGTATCTAAACTCAATAGTACCCATGATATATGCTAATAATTAAGAAAAAGAATTGGAAATTAACAGATATAAAAAAAAAATAAATTTTATTAATATTCAAAATGCAAATTTTCTGAGAAATTCATATAATATAGTATAATGATGTATAATTAAATATTAATTTTTATTTGTATTTTATTTATAGGTTTAAATCTTAATAGTGTCTGTGTCATTGTTTTTTTATTAAGTACTATTATGATATCATTTCTTTTCAAGCTGACAATAAAAAATTTTTTTATTCTTATTTTCCCTATTCATAAAATTATTTGATATGATAAAAGATAAATATTTACATTGTATTTTTTGCAAACAACTCCACTTATAGTGACTTTTTAAAATATTGACTGACTGAATACAATGATCAAAATGTTCACTTGATGAATTTGTAGAATAGCAAAACTAAAGAATTTAATTTTGTTTTTACTTATTAATGAAAAATTTTGTAAATTTTAAATATAATTTTAATTACTTTTCTTATAGATCTTTTTATAAAATCTTTGTTGTCCTTGAACAAAGAAATGGCTTTTATCTTAAACTTTAAGATACCAATCTTCTTTAAATTATTAAAATAATTTTCTTAATTTCAGGCTCAAATTGTTCTTCTTATTATCCTTTTAAGTGCCATGGTAAATTTTATTATTGGTAGCCTTCTTACACCTAAAGATGCTCAAATAGCTCAGGGATTTGTAGGATGGAATTGTAAGCAAAGTTATTGTTTTGATATATTGTTATAAGTAATTAATATATTATAACACTTATATAACTGTCATATTTTATTAGAATATTATGTGAATAAATTTGAAATCATTTCAAATTAAACAAAAGCTAATTAAATATTTAAATCATTCAGTTATATGCTGATATTGAAAACTGGGAAAATCGATAGAAAATTAGACATATCATTCATAACTTGTCAAAACAGCCTAAACAGAACTCTAGGAAGAATTCTGTCTCCCTATTGTTACTTTATATTCTTGTCCAGAACATTCAAACTAATAATCAAAATTTATTTAATGTAAATACAAAAGTATTGTTTAACTGTTCATAAGTTCTGCAAATTAAAAGAAAAATCTAACAAAAAAAAATAGTTTAGTTTGTTTATAATTAAAACTTACAAGTAGAAACAAGCTAAGTATGAAAACTAAAATGTTATTTTTTATTTAAGAACTTTAATCCATAAATATTAATAATATAATTAGAAATCTGACCAGTAGTTTTATGGAGTGTTAGGATTTTTATTTTCATGATCTTGAGAATTTTCAATATAAAAGTTACTATTTATAATGTAACATAATAAAGTTAATTGTCTTCACTAACTGACTTTACTTATTCAGATATGAAATGCTTGAGTAGATTTTTTAAAGAAAAAAATAAAACGGTAAAGTTAAAAATGAATGTTGCATGCATTAACAGATATCTGAAATCTCAAAGTAAAATATTTTCTGCTACAAGGTTAGTGCAATGCAGAATTATACACCAGTGTAAATTTTTTTAAAAATCTTTTGAATTATTTAGAGTAGACGGACAAAATTGTACATAATTTTTTAATATCATTATCTAATGACACACACCAAACACAATCTTGATCAATTAATCCAAACATAAGTTAAACAAACAGTCATTTCACAGTGGTGCAAAATTATCTGCCAAATATGTACAAGTAGATTAGTAAGAATATGCAAATTTTTAATGCATAATGCTGATGGTAAGTGGATACTGCATTTTTCTTTACTTAAAAAGCAAAGTGTAAATAGCAGCTTAAACTTGGATCACATCTTTAACTATACCTTGACAAAAGATGCTAACTGACTTTGAAAAAGGTCATATTGATGGTTTACACTCAAATGGCAAGTTAATAAGTGAAATATCTGCTACCATTCGATGCAAAACGACTTCCAACAACTTAACACTTCGTTGAGTAATAACAATCCACGAAAAACCTTGACATAAAACGAAAAACAACATAACACAAGGTATTTCAAATGTTTTTCGTGGATTGTTATTATACAAAAGGTTTTTACAAAAGGTTTTTCGTGGATTGTTATTACCCTTTGATGCTCTAGAGATGTCATTACAAAATACAACAATCTAGACAGTTATTGAGTCCAATTCAATCCAGTCTTGACAAAAAAAAAGATTAATGAGCTGCTAGTAATAGAAATATTACTGCAAATCAAATTTTGCTTCAAAATGGACCATTGGAAGTGTGCTTTGCTCACCTTCTCATCTAAAATATTCAAAAAAGATGCCCAACCCTGTCTGAAAGACCACCATAAGATAGCAAGAGTCGAACAGGCAAAGACAAAGATGAGTTGGACAGATGAATCACGAAGTCATATTCAGTAATGAAAATGTGGCTTGGATGGGTATCAACACTATTGGTACAACATAAGAAGAGCAAGATTATTTTAAGTATATCCAAGGCTGGGTCAGTAATGATTTGGGAAGCTTAGAAAATCTGAAATTGTCTTTCTAAATTAGTGGATGAAAGCAACAGTATTTTAGAAAGTGCTAGCAGAACATATCCTTTCTATTGGCAAAAAATCAGAAGAACAAAATGGAAATTACAACATAATGCTCCCATACATACTGCTATAAGTGATGTTCGAAACAGTGGTTTGCATCAAACAACATCAGTATAATTGACTGGCAAGCACACTCTCCTGACCTGAACCCTATGGGATATCAAAATGGAAGATAGTTCTAAACATTTGGAGAGTTGAAATTAGCCATTATATGAGAGTGGCAGAAGATTAGTGTTAAAGGACTACAAAATTTAATTCAATACCAAAGGGTATATTTGCAATTATTTCCAAACACAGAAAATTGATTGTGTAAATATTTTTTGTTTGCAATTCAGTGAATAAATAGAAGTTGGCATATTTTGCACCACCTTGAAATGTTTTTTTTTGCATAATTAATGTTTGGATTAATCAATTGGGATGATATTTGGTGTAAATCATTAGAGGACAACATTAAATAATTACATAAAATTTTATCCGTGTACTACAAATAATTCAAGAGATTTTTTAAAAATTACATTGGTGAATAATTCTGCTCTGCACTGTATATAATGAAAAATAATATAGACAAAGTTTCATTGTCAAAATGTACATGAAATTCTCTTTTGATCAATATAAATTTTGTCAAAGCTTACATAAATGTATAACTAATTACCAATTTGAGAAATAGCAATTATAGACAGCATAATTATGTGAAAAATCAACAGAAGATTGTCACCTTGTACATATGTTGAAAAAACCATGGGATTGTAGGTTAATGGAAATATGAAAACATATCCATATCCCAAAGAGTTTTTGATTCTTTCTCTTGTAGCCAAGAAAAAATAATTGAGTCCAAGGAATTACTCAGCATTTATAAAAATTAAAATCTTTAATATTTACAATTAATAATAATTCTTTCCCAAGAAATAATGTACAAAACTTATATAACCTATGAATATACAAATATATGGGACCAACACTGACAATAATACTGAATGAGTCCCATGTGCCAACAAACAAAGGAACTTAATATAACTTATTTCTAACTTAACTCTATCTTAACTAAAATACAATATAAGGGCCCTGAATTAAGATGGGGCTGTTTATAAGAAATCAGATCTGATTTAGATAGGAAAAAAAGGGGAATGACTGGCAAAAATAAACCTCAAGTCCGTTTTTCAAGATGGTTTCCTTTCCATTATGTAGACACATACATCCTCTCCTCTCTCCAAAAGATGATCATCCCCTGGTGCCTTCCCCTACATCTCCTTTCACGCCAGCCCCTTTTGAACAATCTGGTACTACCCCTTTTGTTTTAGAAACACATCAGACCATTGGACCAACCAGTCAGGGTGAGGCCAGATAAACAAAAGCTGGAAGTGAAATTTTGAACGAAAGTAGCAAAAGAGAAAAATAACAAGGCTTAACCAAGCTACAATCTTAACAGTGATCTGCTTATATATACTTTTATGATTCAAACTTATATTGTTTATAAGATACTAGATTTATTTTTTCTCTCTTAACTATTTCAGTTTTTAGCAAATTTTTTTGCATATCATCATGTATGATCAACAGCCATAAGCTTTGGAACAATGCTTCACTATTTTAACAATAGTTTTTACCAGCTTCCAGCAGAACTTCATATTTTGATGATGACAGAAATTTCAGTGAGATTCACCAAATTACATTGTCCCAAATAACTTAAACCAACATGTAGAATACTTAATAACAGAATCTGATATTTAAATCACCAAATTTGTTTTTACAATTTCCCACAATTTCAGGCATTTTTTATATTATACACTTATTCATAAAGTTAGTATTGACAAGGCAGACAAAAAAAATTTAAAATTAAATTTGGAATTTATTAAACTTGTTTTTGAAATTATTTTTATATTACTATTAATTAATTTTGAAAATAAATGAATTTTAATATTTTATATATATTTTATATAAAATATTTTTTACATAATTTAATTGTCTGATTATTATTTAAATTATTATAATTATTATATAAAATTTGAGTATAAAAAATGCACAATTTTTTATAAATATTGCATTCTATTTAAATTTATTTTTTAGTTGAGCTTGGAGCAGAAAATTTTATGCCAGGGTTTAGAGATGGTGAAGATTTCTTCTCAGTTTTTGCAGTATTTTTCCCAGCTGCAACAGGTATACTTGCAGGAGCAAACATATCTGGTGATTTAAAAGTAATTGTTTTTTATTCCTTTTTTTAAAAAAAAAAATATCTATATTGAAATTTTTATTTTGTATTTTTCAGAAATAAAACAAATCCTCACTTGACATCATTGATAGATTCTTGAAAACTGCAGTTTAAGTGAAAATGATTTATAACAAAACCAGTTTTACTGAAGACTAATTGATATAAGCAAAATATAATGTGATTTAATATTATATTCTAATTGTGTTGTGCTTGCAATCACCAACATTTATTTCCCACCTTATAGAATCAATTTTACTGTTTATAAAGGAAATTAGACAACAAAATTGTAAATGATTGCAAGTGTATTTGTATTTTTCTTCATCAACAATATAATGAAATGATGTTAAGTGAGGACATGCTGTATTTTAAAAATAAATTATCTTAGTGTTATATTAAACTAACTTCTGTTTTTGGTATGAAAATGATGAAACATTGAATTATATTTATATCCTTAAACCTTGTTACATTTATAATTATTTTTAATTTAAATTTTTATTTAAAGTGCAAATTATGTTAATAAAGACTCTTTCTTTTAGGATCCTCAGAAATCTATACCTAGAGGAACACTTTTAGCAATATTGCTCACAACAATATCATATTTATTATTTGCTGTAGCAGCTGGATGTACAGTTTATAGAGATGCTAATGGAATAGTAGAATTTGTTCATAACAACACTTTACATCTTCTGAGAAACTGCAGTTTAGGAGAAAAGGGAGTGTGCCCTTATGGATTAATTCCATATTATCAAGTAATTATATTTTTCTTGTTGTACATGTATACAGTAAAACATCACTTTATGTAGGTACCTTTTGTGTTAAAATTTCTGGCACATAAGTGTGGTGGTCACCTAGGTGAGTGTTATGAAAAAATTAACACACAGAACTGTAATTAGAGTATCATACTGAATCTTGCTAAAAGTTTAATACAGATCATAAAAGTAAACAAAAAAGAATAAAATACAGTATTAAGCAAACTTTTTATTTTATCTCTTGCAAGTAATTCAAACTTTTCATATTAACATTGAATAATAGAATATTGAAATACAGAGTATGGTACATGTACAATAAATGAAAGCTGTGTGCAGAAGGATTCATTTAAATGCTATACAGTACAGTCTACTATCGAAGAGTAGTAAACAATTCTGTTCTATTACCATTTCATAAAAATATCTAAGGGTATTAAAGTTTTATTTAAATACTGTGCTTTTTACTATTTAATTTTTTTCAGAATTTTTCAGAAGTTATTAGATATGCAGAAGTGTCCAAGTGTAACGAAAAGTGTTAATTATTAAACTGGCTTTTACGTTAGGCTTGAGTGTTGCAAGTGACACATCATTGATATAGACCAAGAATTGCTGATTTACAGTTATATTTTTACAAAATACCCTCTGAGTTTGTATAAAATCACTGAACAAATATATAATTGTCTTTTTTCTTACTAAATTGTGGAGATTAAATTTAATTTTTCCAGTGTAAATAAAGTTTATTTTATTTGAATGTCATCTGTGGGAGGGAACTCTGCAAACTGTTTCAAAACTTATCAAAAAAGTTCGATTCCATTTTTAAAGTGCTTTAAACAGTGATGACATTCGAAATATTTAACAAAGGGTTCGCTAACAGAAAATTTTTCCTTAACAATTTTTTTTTCGCTCAAATGGTGCATCGGAAGGCTCTAGTTTAGTAGTGTTACAGAGTATAATACGTATATTTTAATATTTTTAAAAGAATCAAACCATTGAGAAATGTTACATGTGTTTAACAAGGTTCGGAAAACTTTGAAAATGTTAACAACGGGTTCGGCCGAACCTGTGCGAACCCGCTGAATATCACCACTGGCTTTAAACAATACATTTTGTTTTTAGAAATATTGCGGTTTTGCTCTTCTGTTAGCTAAGTAAACAGGGATAAATATTATTTTAGGACACTTCTATCTTTACCACTTAATTAAGTGAGGTAAGCCAGTGGTTACCAGGTGGAGTTAGATTTATATTAAAACTTATGCAGTATTACAGGGAAATTTCAGAGATGACCACAAAGCAAGGTTTTACTGTATATATAACACATTTGTTATAATAAGTGTGTGTATTTTCAATGGAATATTATTCTAGATTGTTTGTTTGTAATAATTTATTACATATTATTAATAATTATTTGTAATCTTATTAAAATAAGATTTTAAGGCTAACTACTTTGTATACTTAAATTTTTTTAAATGAAAATTTTTGTATCTTGATATAATTATTATTTTTTTGAATTATTTATTAGCACAAATTATGTAATAGTAAGCATTTGAAAAATTAAAATTTTAAGTCTTTAAATGGTTTAAATATTGTTTTTTTATCAAGATTTTAAGGCTAACAATTTGTTTTATGTTGCTAATTAATATAACTGTAAACTGAGTATTTTGAGTATTTTGTTTCAGACAATGAAATTAGTTGCTGCTTTTGATCCATTAATATATGCAGGTATTTTTGCTGCCACTCTTTCATCAGCATTGGCTAGTTTAGTCAGTGCACCAAAAGTTTTCCAGGTATTTTACTAATTTTTGCTGTTTAGAATTTGTTTAATACAATTTTATTTTAATGTTTTTACCATAATCCAACTGATATTTGCCTATGTCTGAATCATTTTAAAAGAATTGATTTAATCAGAGAAAATAATTACAACAAATACTACACATGGTTGAATTTAAAAATTTAGTAATATAACTTTTTCTTCTTTCACTCACTCACTAAAACTTGTATAACAGTTTTTTCCTAGAAGCCATACTCAACAATATATAACTATATATATAAATTGGAAAAAAGTATACTGGAAAATAAAACCTGAAAATGCATATCCTCCCTATATGAAATATGTATATATTTCTAAGGTAACCAACTTTTTACAATGAAAAGGAGGACACAAATAAATTGAAGGAAAAAATATCATAAAGAAACATTTTATTCATTGCAACAATAATACACTATAATAATCTATACTGCACATATGTGCTGTGTCATGTTTCAGTAAGAAGTAAACAAAGCCACTTGTGCGCACTATGCTCTCTCATGGTCTCCTGCGCGGAGCATATGCGTTTCATAATCATGTCTCGTCACACTGTACCAAGCCTTGATGATTCATCATGTCAAATACAAACACGTCACATCACATGCAATGGATCAACTCGGCATCAATCAAATACAGAGATTTACAGATTAGTCTTCAAATATCGAAAAGGAGGACATGGAGGACACTTTTTGAGGGAGGACAGAACTTACAAAAGGACTGTCCTCCCTAAAGGAGGATGATTGGTCACCTTAATATTTTCTCTAGGATATGCATTTTGGGGTTTTTTTTCAGTCCAATCTTTTAAACTTTCCATTTAATATCACATACAATATGTGTAATATTTCATAACATTCAAATTGTTTTTGTACATTAATTATTTCTGTCTTCTCTTTGTTTATAACATAACCACTCTTAACTGGATAAACTTGATAAAAACAGCAACTGAAATCAAAAACCAGCAGTATAAGTAACAGAACTAATGTTTCCACCTGTGTTAAACAGGCATTCTCAGGCTAAATGGCCCCAAAGCAATTAAAAGACAACAGGGAATTGCCATATACATGTGAAGAGGGGGGTGACATGATGGAGGGAGGGAGAGAGGATAGTAAGTTTACAGTTCATAGAATGACTTTCATGCAGGGGGAAGAAATCTACATTGCAAAAGTTAATGGCAGTATTTTTTCAGATAGCCTTGTAAATTTCTATTTGCTCTAAATATCTGAGCTGTTGTTTCTGGGTGGATCTATATATGAGGTAAACATGGTCGAAATGCATGCTATGTTGGTGTCAGAGGCAAAGGTAGCTAATGCAGTGTTGGTTGACCCTTTAAGGATGGAATTCTAATGTTCTTTGAGACAGATGTTTAAAGGATGCATTGTAACACCTATGTATTCTAAGTTGGGTTGATTCTGTGATCTGTAACAGGAATAATATATATGCCTTGTTTGAGGTGCATATCTGGATGATTTTTAGCATTGCAGAGGAGGGTGTAAACCAGGGACTTCTCTGTAAAACTAAACAAAAATTATTATTCCTGAAAATTTCTTTGTACAGGGCAGCTAGTCTTCTGTCATACATTACTATCTTGTATATGGTGAATGTTAAATGTGATGGAAGTGGCAGAGGAAAGGCAACATACTAGGCCTTTAATAATGTTTGGAGAGTAGCCATGTAGAGTAGCATACTAGGTGATAGTTTGGAGCTCTTTATCCTTTTTCTGTTTTCTGTATAGTTTTTACATTTTTGTATAATATTTAACCAAGACATAACATTCAACAAAACTTAAAAAAAATACATAGTTATTAGAATGTTTAGTTAATTTTCAAACATTATTGAATATGAAGTTAAAAGAAATTTATTTATAAAATGTAACTAAAATTTTTTACAGGCACTTTGTAAAGATAAACTATTTCCTTACATCCATGTTTTTGCTAAAGGATATGGAAAAAATGGAGAGCCACGTCGAGGCTACATTTTGACATTTATAATAGCGTTGGCATGTTGTGCAATAGGTATTATTTTATTTCTTGGTTTTATTATTATTCATAAAGTAATTTATTTTTAACAAATAATCAACTTGGATTAATACTCATTAATTAATTATTTATACATAATTTGTGTTATCATTGATGAAATACTTTGTTTTTCTCAAAACAAGAAATATGAAAATTGCATGAATAAATATATAACATAACTATAAAAGTTTTAAATAAAATACATTTATAAAATAATAAACAATATCAGTCTATTAACTTTGTCTTCAGCAGTATAGTTTTTAGGGTGACAAGAGATGTCAGTTTTTTTGTTTGCAGTTTTTTGTAATTACGTAAATGTAATTAGATACAATTTAAAGAATTAATTTAATATAAATTTTATCTCAATATTAATACTGTATGTCAAATTTAATAGTAATATAAATTTATTAACACAAATTTATTGGTCAAACATCATATTTTAAGTTTTAAATTTAATAACATCAGTCATCAATAGACAATGAAATAACATATGCCAATTCTTTCATTACAGTATTATTAAATAATCAATAGAACTAGACAATTATCCAAACATCAGTTAGACAGAATTATTGATATAATTTGGAGTGTAACAGAAATGTTTACTGTTTTGCCAAATCTCTAATCACTCAAATTCATGAAATAAAATTACATGCTGCTTTGATAAATAAGTATCTACATCTAATTGTATTTCTCATCCTAATCCAATTAAGTCCTTAAGTATTCAAAGTATGTCACAAAACTCTTCATAACCATAAAAATAGATGTGTCACAAATAGTAATTACTCCAAATCAAGTTTATTTTTAAGTTTAACATAGGTATTTCAGAACAGATTACAGTGATCCTATGTCTTACATTAAATGTGTGAACCAACCTTCCAGTTAACTATTTTGGAGAACTTCTTACATTTTAGTTATTAATAAACATCAGTTTACAAGTCCAGTTTAAAAGGTAAAATATATGTAAAGTAAATGTTTGAAACTGGTCTGGGCTTGAATCTCTGAAAATACAATTTTTAGTGTTCTAGTTTGTTAAATATGTTGTTCTGTGTAAATTGTAATTGTTTAGCATGTTGTTTGTGTATATTTGATTATACTAAATAAAATATTGTCCTGAATAATGTTACGTTTTATAAGTTTGTTGAAAAAAAAATTTTTTTTAGGTGAACTGAATGCAATTGCACCTATAATATCAAATTTTTTCTTGGCTGCTTACTGTCTGATAAATTTTTCCTGTTTTCATGCTTCATTTTCAAGATCTCCAGGTAAATTTATAAACATTTAGGAGGAAAAACAAATTATATAAGAATTTTTAAATCTTGCTTTAAATAGGATTCCGTCCATCTTTCAAATATTATAACATGTGGCTTAGTCTTCTTGGAGCAATACTGTGCCTTGTTATCATGTTTATAATAAAATGGTGGGCAGCTCTTACAACATTTGCTGTTGTACAAGCTTTGTTTATCTACATCTATTACAGAAAGCCAGGTAAGTGTTTTTACAAAAAATAGCATAATCAATTATATATTGTATGTGGAGTTTTTAATGTTTTTCAAGACACTAAAGACAGGGTTTCTGGCTGACTGGAAAAATTAGAGAAATTGATAAGGCTTGAAAAGTCACAGAATTTATAGTAAAACTGGAAAAATTTTGTATTTTTTCCAAAATACATTGCAAAATTTTATTGTTTTTCCAGTGAATTTTGTTCATTAGCTCAAAAGCAATCAAAGTTATTGTAGGCTTTATAACTTGTGGATATTTCTGAAGAGAAAACAGAACTGGAGATAAAACACAATTTTAAATACTTTGATAAATTTGCAAACATAAAACAAAATAGAATTTGCACACTTCCTATATACATTTGTTTGGTGGACTTTTTGGAAAGTTATTTGTAGAATGATGCTTTTTCTGATTTTGTAAAACAAAGATATATTTTTTTGACAGAACAGGTCTAAAAAAACATTATTTTGTTTTTATAACTCAAAATGAGAAGTAAACAAACTTCTGTGCTGTATAATTTGTTTAAAGGTAGGTCTGCCAGATTTATCAATGAATTACAGATTTCCAGTTAAGTTTTTATGTTAGAAGCTGTTATGTATGTAAATCTCCAGGGGATAACCCATATTAAATTGCCCCTTGACCTAGTTAGGCAACCCCACACCTCTGACCTTTGTCATGTTCCTTTGTCTCCAGTCAGTTGTGCGTTAGCTGTTGTAGCACTTAGACCTGGAGGCACAAAGTTAAGTTTGTATTATCACCAAGTAGTTTGTATTATAATAATGTTAATTATATATGTTAACAAGTAATCGTTTATTTTACGGGCATAACAGTTTATTAACCTATTTTTATACAATTATATTGCAAAACAGTTATAGCTATTGTCATCCTTGTTATAGTAAATGATTTCAGAAATAACAATCACAAGTTAATCTGACCAAACTAAGTTTGTTAGATGGCATTATAAGCTTAGATACCTAGAAAAATGATTCAACATCAAAAGAACAAAATATTGCAATCTCTGAATCTGTTATATTTAACACTAACCTTGAGGAATTATGGGAATCAGATAGAAATCATTTTAATTTACAGACAAGACTTGGAATTTTTAACTGCTGATAATCTTGTCAATATTAATGATATTCTAACAGTTAAGTCTTCAACAGATAGCTGTATCTGTGACAACTGTGAAGTTGACAATAATGCAGATGGAACTGATGTTAAGATTTCACTACCAATAATATCAAAAGCATTTGCTATGTTAGAACATCTTGAAAGTTTATAAAATAATAATGGAGACATGAAAACAGTGAATCTCTTGTCATTAAGAAATCCTCTGTGAACAGTCTGTGAAATAAATACAAATGAAAATCAATGACTTTTTAATGGTTTTTATTTTTTGCATAGCACTTTAATGCAATAAATTGTTGTTTTTTTATTTACTATGATTTTTCAAGATCTTGCTCATAAGTAATAACATTCTTTAATGTTTCTTCATTGGAATATGTTATAACCATACTCAACTATATAGTAAATTTTAAAAATATGGTTTTAAGTTTTAGTAAATTTTTTATAAATGGCAATGAAATTATAACAAAAATAGCTTATTAAAACAGTTTTTGTAGAATTAATAAAGATTAATATAATTACCAAAAGAAAAATTTTTATAAAAAATTTTTTTGTATACAAAAAAAATATTGTTTGTCAAAACCTAAAAAACATTGATATTTAGAATATTTTTAGATGCTATGTTTGTGTATGTATAATTCTATTTATATGTGTAAAGATTTATTAGCATTGCAACAATTTATTAAAATGAATATTTGCATTACAGATGTAAATTGGGGATCATCAACTCAGGCTCAAATGTATCAAATGGCTCTTAATGCTGTTATAAAATTAAATCTAGTTCCAGATCATGTGAAAAATTATAGGTATGTATGAAATATATCCTAAAATATTAAATATATTATATATTAAGGAACATTCCAAGAACTTTATATATTACATTGAATATTGCCAACAGCTGGAGAGAATAAAAATTCTTTATTTCTTTTCTGTGGACTTTGACTTATTTTAAGACTTACCCACAAAATATAATTCTGTTAAGAATCACAAATTTTCTTATTTGGTATTTTATCTTATTCTAAAAAAGTATGCATATGCATTTAGATATTTTTATATCTATATAATCTGCAAATGTAATATAACTGATAGGCATTAGTAATAATTTATTAATCATGCTTTAGTTAAACAATTACAGGCATGTGTCCTAAAAATTTGCAAAAATTTCAAAAATGTGCTATTTCTCAAAATTACCAGAAAACAAGTCAACAAAACACTAAATCTTTCTAGAATGTTGATTTTATTTATCAAAAAAATTTACATAAATAATTTCATTTTTAAAAAAGGAAGAATTAAATAAATTTTATCAAAGAAATGTAATTGGCAGATTTTATACTGAAAATTGCAAAAATGGTAAATTTTATGTAGTTAAATATTTCTCTACAAAGGGAGTTCCATGGTGTACAATTCATGGCTTCATCTCAAGAATATAACAAGAGGAATCTTCAGACAAAAAATAGGAAGAGGTCAAAAGAGAAGGAAAATGACTGACAGAAAGAGGAACCAGTTGGAGCCTTGGAAAAAGTTGGACAAATGCTTAGAAAATTAGGAATACACTTAAATATAACATGGATATGTTTTCTGGATTCTGAAAGAACATCAGGCTTTTTGTGGAAGCTATGAGATGGTGTTATGAAAGCTCAGTATTGATGAGATTATTGGTAACTAGCCCTATTTCACTTTTGTCAGAAAAGAATGTGCTGTTTTGTAAACCCACTAAGGCAAACACCCAGGAAAAAAGAAACATGTGCAGAAGATGTTAAAAACTCTATTTTTGTGTGATGTACAGGATCAGTAATGGATGCCAATGGAAGATTATTCTGGAAGTAACCCAAAACCTGATTGTTAGCTGGATAATTACAAAATATTGTGACTTGTACAAAAAACTTGAGATTACTTATTACCCAAAAATTTCCTTATAACTAATACTTAAAACTAACTTACACTAAAGGAAAGTGGAAAACAGATGATAGGAGGCGAGAAGTATCAAAGATGGCAGAAAGAATAGAATAAAGAACTTGGGTTGTATGAACATATTTCTGTTGTCATGAGGAACCATGTGGAAGCTTTCTTGGGTATAATTCACACTTCCATTTGCCTTTCTTAGTCCAAGAGAGTTTCTATAAATCTCTAGTCCAAGTTGTTGGTTGTCTGTCTGAACTCAAAACTTGTCAAGTTGAGAAGCTGACTGGTAACAATTTCCATTTCATGAAAGAAGTGCTAGATTTAAATCCTGAAGTCAAATTCAAACAATAATTCAAGTACTATGCATATGTAGCTAGAACTGTTTCTAAGATTATCAGCACAAAACCTTTCTCACTAATTTCTAGCCTTATTAACAAGAGTACAAACGTTTTCGTACCCGAGGAAGGCCTATTAAGAAGGCCGAAAGCGTTTGTACTCTTGTTAATAAGGCTAGAAATTAGTGAGAAAGGTTTTGTGCTGATAATCTTAATAATTCAAGTTTTTATCAAAGCTCCTGATTTAGCTGACATTCAGTTCAAAGGGATGTTTAGACTTTCATTGCCCTGTCACAGCTCTTCATCACTGAAGAAGTATATTGTAGTGAATGCATTCAAAAAGAGGATAGTATCCTTCCTAAAGAAATACTACCCTGACTAAGGATATGTCTTCTGGTTTGACATTGCCATTGTCCATTAGCACAATTGCTAAGTTGGATCATTACAGAATTTGATACATCTTCCATGAAGTCAATGTTCAAAACTTTTCACAGCTGAGACCAATTGAGAGATTTTGGTACCAACTGAAGCAAATAGTTTATGAAAATGGTTAGGAAGCTGGATCCAAAAGGAGTTGGAGGACAGGATCAAGGCCAAATTTTATAACTTTGTGGTGTTTTATTAGGGAAAGGATTTCACACACATCTTTTTGTTTATCAATAATGATATTTATTTCATAGGTTTTCCAATATACATGTATTGATACAACTAATTACAAATTGACAAACAGAAATTTGTGCATGTATCAACGAATTCTGTTCCGTAGCTCACCTACGTCAAGAATCCCCAAAAATGAGAATTGATTCTTTTTTCTATTTTTTGTGTTGCCAACTCTGTTGCTTCCTCGATGGTGGTGCCACCTACCATTACAACTTCAAAGCTGACCACTTCCAGAGGTTAATGGAACAGATTAAGACTAAAGTTTGAATTTCAGACAATCTGTCCTGATCATCTTATCTGAATGTTAAACATCCTGCCTGAACCCAAAAAAACTTTATTTTAAAATAATGAATTTTAAACAACTTTGAAATTTGTGTAGAGTTTTAGGATACATGCTCTTATAGCAGTGTCTTTTTAATGGTTTCTTTTGTTTAGTTCATTTTCAGAAAATTTTGTCCATTTAGAAATGTTTTATTTTATTTAGGAAACCTTTAAAGTAATTACTCAGTGAAGAATTTTAATATTTCAAATCTTTAATTTTGTAAGACTTACAATATTAACTTTCTGAATTTGATTATCTAATTTTTAATAACTAACTATTTCATTATATATAAATTTAAATATGATTCAAATTAAATTTGAATCTGTAATAATTTCTTTTTATTTTTCAGACCACAAATTCTTGTTCTAACTGGATGCCCAAATAATCGTCCTCCATTGGTAGATTTTGCTTATACTATTTCAAAAAAATTGAGTTTAATGGTCTGTGGTCATGTTCTAATAGTAAGTATAGTATTAATAATAATTGTGAATGGTAGGCTAGCAGAAAATGCCAAATTTTTATTTTATAATTACAGTATTCAAAATTTATCATTGTTGTAAATTAAAAAAATATAATTATGAATTAGTAAGAAATTGTAATATTTGAATATTTGTTTGGTATTTTTTTTTTCTTGTTTTCTGAAGGATTTACATAATTTAATGTCAGATCAGAAAAATTATTCCAAAAATCACTGACAGTAAATACATCAAACAAATGAGTGTTAAGAATTCCTGGCATGTATTAGGCAGAATATACTTAGCCACTGGCATATATGAGACCCAGTGTTTATTCCATTCTCACAGAATTTCATATCCAAATAAGTGATTTAAAAAAGGGGAATACAGTTTAATCTTCTTTCCATCACCACCTCCATGTTTTCTCTCACCTGTTCTTTTTACCAAACAATGAAAACTTAAATAAAAAGGAAAAGTTTTTGTGAATGAAATTCTTTTTACTTAATAGAAAAGCACAATACTACACAATGTTACTACCATAAGCATTATTATTATAGTATTACCATATTTGCAATTTAATTTGAGTCATCATTTCTGTAGAGAATATCATAATGCTCACCATCATCATCACTGTAGATTACAACTTTATTACGATCAGCTTTTTTGTCATCCTCTTCCTCTAGTACAGGTTACTTTCAGGCCACCAATAACTTCTTACTCCCAAGGTACAGTTCTAGGATTTGAAACAGTGGATGGATGCGTTTTTGCTGCCATCTGTCTTGATAGTCAACATACAATTTTTGAAGTAGTGGATTCTTTCATTGGAATATTTACTAGGCTTTTTAAACCCAAGAAGTCATCATTTAAAAAGGCACTTTGCGATTTCCTTTGCATGTATACTGTTTCTCTTCATCATTCATCATCCAAGAGTGAAACAACTGACATATAGGGTGTCCCAAATTAAACTTGACATTTCCCAGCTGGCTTCAGAAAAAACTATTCATTAGAAAGTCATGAAAGTTTGGGAATACCTTTGAGATGATGGGAATTTTTCTTTAGAATAATATTTAGAATAATATTATAATAATTTTTTAGAATAATATAATACAAAAAAGTTAATTCCAAAAACCACCACTAGAGGATGCTTCTCAAGCTGAAATAGTGGCATATTGGCCTGAAAGATTTTCAGACTTGAATCCATGCAATTTTTGGCTCTGCAGCTTGTTGAGTAAGCCGTAGATAGGAATCCACGGGGCAATAAAACAAAGGACACAGTAAATGACCAACACGTGCACGGAAACAAAGAAAAGGTTTATTTTTACCAGTATAACGACCACTCTCCTCAACGGGTACAGAGACCAGAAAAATCCTATAACGGGAGTTCACACGTTTTATATCTCCCGCTCTCCGGAAGTCCGCTTTACCACGTGTCCCACCTTGGACCAATCGGAAGGCTTCTCCCATGCGGTGACGTCATAATACATGCACACGTGACATCGTATAAATGGCAAAAACCCGATACAAAACAAAAGGAACCCGACAAGAAAAATAATATTTATACACATACACATATTAACAACCAATAGTCGCGTAGCGTTACATATCGGAAAGCTCCACCCAATCGGTAACATCATAACACACACACGTGACATCGCATAAATGACAAAAAACCCGATACAAAACACAAAGGAACCTGACAAAAATATATATATACATACATATAATAACAATACATAGTCGCGTAGCGCTACAAGCTATCTCAAAGACTTGGTCTATTGTGATCCCATAATATTACTATTGGACCTTAAAACAGCATAGCATGCTATGTGCATAACTACTCCTAGCATGCACTGCATTAATTTAAACAATTGTACATGCTGTTTTACACTTTCAGATGGTAGCAGACAATGGTGGCCATCATGTTTTGAACATGTTTTGCTCACATTAGACAGATACTTTTGTGTAGTTCATTGTTATGAACTATAATATGTCCTTTAGTGGTGGCTTTTGGAACTAAGTTTTTGCTCTAGAAAAATATTTCTATCATCTCATTAAGGCATTCCCAAACTTTCATGCCTTTTTGATGAATAGTTTTACCTGTAGGCAGCTGGAAAATGTCAAATTTAATTTGGGACACCCTGTATTTATCCTAGAAGGACTTCTTCCACATTACATCCATTGCATGAATAAATTGTGCTGTTGCCTGGAATACCAGTAACACTCACATTATAGATTTTCAGTTTTTTTTTTGTTTTCTTGCTGATGTGACAGTGATATGAATTCACACAAATGGTCTACACTAGAAAGAAAACTTGCTGCAGATTTTCTGCAGTCACTGTAATTTTCTCTTCTGTTATCCAACCATTGATTGAACTTGGAAAAAACTCTGGGAAGATTCTGCAGCCTCTCCACTTCGTATAACCACTTCCAAAATATAATGAAAGATTTCAATTTCATTCCATTGCCTTTTGCTGCTCTTTCTTATGAGCTGTTATCTTGATAGGAACACTCTTGCTATCAGTTGCTGCAATCACAATGCTTCCATGCATATCAAAACACATTCCCAGCTATAATTTCTGAATCACTGATGCACTTTTCTTCTCACATGTTGGAAATAGTCATTATATATGACACTAGCATATCAGGTAGCATCTGAGGATCTTATTATGCAAGTGATGTCTTTTGTCTTGTGGGCAAGTGATTCTTTCATGAATTTTTCTTGTCACCCTCTGCTAACTGCGAATGCTGTATTTTGTTTATCACTTTTATCTAACCAGGAGAAGACTTATCTTGCCTTGTCCATCCCCATCCATCTAGAGACGGGATTATTTTTCTCTTGCTGCTCACAGACCCACTTGTGGCAGTATGCCATATTGTCTGTTTGTCTTTTGTTCTTCATACACTTTTAGCCTGCTCTTTGTTCTTTCTTACTTCTAGAACTTACTAATCTCCTTAATTCTTCTTTCTTGGAGGTGAGGGCCACTTTCTAGAATAACCAGTACAATAAGTATGAGGTTATCTGAGGGCAAATATGGGGAAGAAGGGTTACTTTTGGCCTGGTGCTCAAAGAGAGAGGACCACAAAAAGAAAGAGACGTTAGTGTTTGGTGTCAGAGTAGATGAGTAAAGTCAGAACCTTTAGTAGGAACCTTAAAATTTCCAGCTCAAAATTAGTGTGTTAGTCAGCATTCAACTTGACTAGTTGCGCGCTTTGGACAAGTGACTGACAATTTGGATACAAGTAAAACTCTCAGGCCTCAAGGAAAGGAAGACAGAAGCATGTATTGTATGTAAGAAGTAGTAGTAGACAGCATACAACCCCTGGTACTTTTGTTCTGTCCTATCTGCCATCTTTACTACTTCTCCCCTCCTATCTTCATCTTTCCATATTAGTGTAAGTTTAGTATTAAGGGTTAGTTTTAGGAAAATTATTCTTGTGTATTGTATTGGTTTAGTGTTATCACGATTTTGTGTATTGTGGTCATTTATTATTTTTGTAATTTCCGCTGATGATCAGGTCTAAGGTTTTTGCTGAAGTAACCATTCTAGAGCTGACATCCTTGATTGAACCTGTAAATAATTATATCCTACATAGTAGATTTGAGAAAATTAATTCACTTATGTGTTTGGTTTGTTGGGTGTTTCTTAGTGGGCTAATAAAAACCCTATTTTATATCTCACAGTACAGAACCTTTTCTTCATTGATCTTCTTGCAATTTCCTCCTCCTAGTCCCTTTTGCTTCACTCTTATTCTTGATAGCCTTGCTTGCATCTCCACTCATGAATTTGCATTGGATGCACTTTGAATTTTTGTGCTGCTGCTTCTTTGGGATGTTATTGTGTTCACAACTGTGTTCACAACTGTGTTCAATTTGAAGGCAATGCTGAAAGACCTCTTGGTTGCCATTCCAATCAACATTTAATTCACTGATCTATGTAAAATGAAGAGTGTGAAACAGAAAATACAGGAAGATTCATCCACTCATATTATTTACCCATATACCTCAATTGCATTTCATGTCATGGAAAAACATTTTTCAAGAGTTCTATGAGAAAATTACCACAGAATGTGCAGAACACTCTTAAGAATTATGAGTTTCACATAGGAATTTAGTGACATTCAGTGTCTATTTAGCAATTTAAACTAAATAGCCAGTGTTTTTAGGAGACCTGGACCTTATTGGAGGATTTATGGTATATAATAATTTATAATCTTAACATAACTTAGAAAATTATCACTATTTGATTATGTGAGTTTATCATCTCTATTGCTGTATGGACTGCTGAGCGGTAACAGTCAATGTCATGTGGGAGCAGTTGAGTCAGAGATAGATGCCTCATTTACAAACAACACAACCCGTTTATTAGACAATTAATTTACACTAAAGGTCAATAGTACTACATTCCACTATACCTTTAAAATGCAGTCTACTTTTGTCTAAAGTAGACTGCATTTTAAAGGTATAGTGGAATGTAGTAATTAATAATGCAGTTAGAGATTTAATAATTGGTCAATAGTACTTTTCACAATGGGTTGAAGTCCTTGTATATTTTGGTGCGATGTCTTCAAAGAAGAAGAGGAAAGTCCAGCAACAAACATGGTTTCCTATTGCTGACTGGATATTGCATTTTAAGTCCAGTTCTCGAATAAGAAACAATGTCCAGTGGATGCAGATTGGAATCTCCAAAGTTTCTCTCAACAAAGATCTAACTTTCAGAGGATATATCAGTAAAGGATAAAGGTGGAACCTTATGGGGAAATACCCCAGCCTTGCTGGATGCCATGGCAAAGAATGAAGTGTCCTTGTGGTATGGACTTAAATATCTTGTGGACTTGCAAATTGTCATTTTATTGGTTATTAATTCCCTTTCTCAGTCCCAGATTGGTCTTTCTCTGTTACCAGGTGAAATTGGACCAGATTGGTTCCCGAGAAAGACGATTTTATGTTGATACAATTCAACACAGTCTTTCTTTCGATGTTGAGCAAACCTTGTACCATAACTAACATTTCCCTTTTTTTTTTTTGTTTGTCGTGTCTTATAAAAAATATAATTTACTAATATTTCTCCTTTTTTATTGTGTGGTTTTAATAATAAAAATTTTATTTTTCCCCATTTCCTCTATAGTTTAGTTTCCTTAATTTTAATTAATCACAAAGATCAAAATTCGTTTTTATTTTGATATGGTTAAAAGAATGTTTTTCATCCCAGCCCAGGGCCTCACAATTATTTGTATGATTTAAAAGTTCTAATCTGGATAGTTTATATATTTTTAAATACTAAATGTCAGTTTTCTCAATTGAAAAAGTTATTTATTTATTTTTTGGTAGCATTTTTGTATTAATAAGTATTTTCGATAAAATAATAAGTGTACCAATTATAAAAACGAAAAGATATAAATGTGATAAAACAGATTTGAATTTGCATATGTAATATGTGATTAATATTCCAAACAGCATATAATATTTTTTTATATTTAATAACTTTTTGTTTTCAGACTAATTTCATTTAAGCAATAAAAAACAAAAATTTAAACAATAATAATAAATTGTTTAAACATCACATATATTATTTATTATATTAATGAAATAATTGTTTTTCTAATTAAATTTTTAAAAATTTTTTAATAAAGGGAAATCATTCTCAAAAAACAAAAGCATTGTTAAGTCAACAAGCATATCAATGGCTTCAAAAACGAAAAGTGAAATCATTTTATGCAGTAGTTCAAGAAGACAGTTTTTCCCATGGTGTATCATCTCTGACTCAGGTGAAATTTTATTTTTAACAAATAATAAAAACATTAAGATAAGCTTTGCTAAATTATTCTGTTTGTGAAATGAAAAATTTTATTAAATTCTATAAAATTCTGTAATTTTAATTATGTATTTTAAATATTCTTTTGAATTGTAAAATATTTGCTTTTACAATCTTTAAGATTCTATTATTTTAAATTATAGACTTAAATATTTCTAGATTTATAAATATGAAATATATTTTGTAGTTAGTTGGAATTGGAAAATTAAAACCAAATGTGATTTTAATGGGATATAAATCAAACTGGCAAGAATGTGAACCTAGTGAAGTACTTGAATATTTTAATGTTATTCAGTAAGTTAGAAATTTTTATTTTGCAGTATTAACTTTGTCATTTATTACATATTTAAAATAATTATATAATATGCTCTTTGTATTCTATTTATCTAATAGAGCAGGGCATCTGAAACTATGGGTCGCGACCCCATTTGGGGTCACGAGATTTTAATGTAAAATATTGAAAATAATTTGTGAGAGTTTGAAAATGGCACGCTTTGTGTCATAGGTATCGTGAGTTGTGCTTTGTGTCACTTCTGGTGCAGCGAGACAACGATTCAGCAACACTGTAGTGTGAACTAGTGTAGTGTTGTCGCTTTTCAGTGTATTCAGTTGTCTCTGTTCCATTGTAACACAAGAGTGAACTGTGGTAGTACACCATTATTATTTTTGCAAATTTATATATAAATTTTAGATTTTTTTGGGGTTGCGAAAAAATTCACAATCATAAATGGGGTCGTGAATATAAAAAGTTTAAGAAGCCCTGTAATATAATAACAAAACAACTTTCTTAATTTTAATCATCTATTTAATTTCTCTATTTCATATTATTAGATTTTTAAATTTAATTTTCTAAATATTTGACTTAGGAACATATCTAATGTATGATTAAAATACTTTATTAATTTGTCATTTATAATTTTTTTTGCTAGTTTACATACTGACCTCTGTTAGCACTACTAACTGGTTATTCTGAGCCAGTTTTGTTTTTCTATTTGCTATTTTTAATTTTTTTTAATAAATGATATTTAATTATTATATAAAAATTATTTTAATTTATTTTGAGATGTCAAATGGAACTATTCATGAAACTGCCAAAAACCAGTCAATTTGACCAGTGTCTCAAATGTTTTAGGTAAACGAAAAATCCTCAGTTTCCTTTGTAAGCAGAACTAGCTAACTTTTTTGATGCCGAGATTAAAAGGAGCTAAATTTTGAGGATTTCTAAATTAGACTTAAAAATCCTAAAAACGTAATTCCATTAATCTTTCATCTCAAAAAAATTAGTTAATGTCTTTTCTAAACTCAGCTAATATCAGGTGGAAACTCTCAAATGATAGTAAATATTCAGTCTGACATAAATGCAAATTTAAATTACAATGAATATACTACTGAATTGGAAAATGAAAATAGTTTGGCACAAGTATATTATAAGATTTACATGAAATAACTTTGTCACAATACTTTTGTTACCAGCTCATCTTTCATATGTTTTGATTTTTCTATTATTGGTGATTCTCAATGTGATGAAGTTACAGCTGAAAATTCAAGAAAAGTATCATAATTTTTTTTTGTTAATCATAGATAGTAAACATACTATAAAGTTAGAAGTAGATTAGTAGAAGTTAGACTGTGGTCTGCATTTTTTTTTAAATCATCTCAGCAAATTTTTGGAATATCATAACATCAAATTTAATGAATTTCAAGTCACTTAATAAATGCTAGGATTATGCATCAATAGTAAGTTAAAACTTAATTTAAATTTTGGCTTACTGTTAATACAATTTCTTAGCATTTTTTTTGAATAATTTTTCCTTAATTTGGAAAAGATGAAATGTGGTCAAATAATGAACAACTTTCTGAGAATATACTATTGGTAGATTTAGAGCCATATAAAAATGAAAAAATGATTTAATATAATTTATTATAAGAATATAAAATATAGAGTTTAAATCTAGGATCAAACAGTAAATAGTCAATAAAAGCAAATTAAAGATGATCACATTATATACTATTTAGTGTCAAAAAACAAATAAGCTATTGGAAATCAACCTCAAGAAAGACTTAAAAAATCAAATGATTAATTGTGAAAATAATTTAATATAGGCAATCAATATAAAAAATTGATGCATTTTTTTTTTTTGTATAGAAATCTAAAATACCTATTCACCATATTAAGTATAAAAGCCTATAATAATTTCAAATGTTTATTGAGGCAGAGCATTAGTAAAACCTCTTCTATGAGGCTTACAGAATTGTGTTTGTTCTCAAAATCTGTGTAATTGATTTTGATAAAACTGTCATTTTTCTTTTTTACTATGAAGAATCCAAAATTTAAATAAAAAATTTGTTGTATGACTTTGTTTCCAAGATATAAGGTCCTAACATGAGCGCTTGCAACAAAGTGATATCGCATAAATCATGCAACAAAGTTGCTAGCACGTCTTCTATGTAGTTTATAGAATAGTTTGTTCTCAAAATATGATTGCTATCTAATTTTGAGATTATTCAAATCAAGTTCATTCTCAAATTTTCTCAAATAGAAAATTGCCATTTTCTTTTGATTGCGACGATGAATCCAAAAATGTAATAAATATGAATGTAGAAAATAGGGGTCCATGCTTTTTTTATATCTAAAGTGAGGTCAAAGTGACAATGTCCTTGCTGCTTGAGCATGCCTAACAGAATTTAGCATTCAAATAAAAAAAAACAGCATTGCATGCATTGAACAAAAAATACACACAAAGAAAAACAAACAGAACACAAGAACAAAGCAATTGGCATTGATTACTTTTAGTTTTGGTTTTATTTGTACACAACACTGGGCAATCTGTGGGAATGCCTCTTGAGAGGTCTTTTATGGGAAACTGGTCCTATTTAGGTGTTACTAACATGAAGAAAATTGAAAGAACATGTAGCCAATACATTGGCCAGGCACAAAATCACAACCAACTACCAGTGTTGGTTGTGATTTTGTGCCTGGCCAACTACCAGTGTTCAGTGGTTTAATCCACTTAGCCACTGGTGGGCATGGGCATAGATTGCTTTATTCTTAGATAACCTCTCCATGTTGGTAAGTGCAAGGATCATCTCTATTTGCCAGGCCAGTGCAAGGATCGCTTCTCCTGTGGCTGGCAGAGTATGAGGATTGACTTTCCCATGACTGGCTGGTGCAAAGATAGCCTCTTTTGTGGTGGCAAGTGCAAGTTCACCTGTCTGCGATCATCAGGTACAAGAATCACCTTTTCTGTGCCTAACAAGTGCAAGGATCACTTCTTTCTTTCTGTTATATTGTAATAAAATTGAAATGGAGCCAAAGTCATGTGATGTCCTAGTACTTTCTTAAGTTACATTAGATTTAGTTAAAATATAATAATATAAGTGATATTTTGTGAAAAAAGTTTTGTACTAGTTTTACAGAATGTTTAAAAATCAATTAAAATGACCAGCAACAGCAGTTTTAGTTAGTATACAATAACTTTCAGTTTTATTTTCAGAACATAGTAAAACCAAAAAACTTGCTAATTTGTTTTAGATGTTTGAATAACCAGATCCAAAATATTATTAGAGATGTATGAATTTTTAAAAATAATTTTATAAGATTTAAAAATTCTAAATAAAAGAAAAATATTACATGATGATTAAGTTTTAAAGTTATTGTCTTAGCTTTAAAAAGATTTCTTATATTGATAACTACCTTTTTATTCATTATTAGCTTTAAAATAAGTCTTTCATGAAAGTACAGTACCTTAAACATATAATTCAACATAAAATGCTTTTTTTCTGAACAAAATATAAAAATCAATTTGTATGCTTTTTTTGTTTTTTGTTATAGAAAAAGCTTCTTGTGCTAAGTTGTGTTAAATTTGAGAGAGGAAATTTAGATAAAACTAGTTGTATGTGCCTGACATTGCTCAGGCTTTTAAGGGAGTGAGGGTGATAAAATAAATCTTGGGATCGGAGAGGGTGATAAAATAAATCTTAGGCCAATAAATGTACATTTTAGTTACTAAGTATTTACAATAATAAAATTAAAAACACAAAAAAATTGCTTGGACTTAAGTTAAGATGGGTGGGCTTTAGGGATGCTTTGAGTATGGACTCCCACAGTATTTTTTCTAGGTTGTAAAAGAATATTCATGCCAAAGTTGGTACAGATATATTGAATGATACAGAAGCCTTTAACTAATATATTAATACATACAAACATATTTTGACTTTTATATATATGAATAAAACTTATATCAATATAGTTAGGCCTGAGTAATCATGAACACAACATGAAATACTTTGAAAAATCTGCCATGCATATATGTAGTGCCATCTAGCACAGTGACATCATTTTTTTCCAATTTCTCGTATGTTCTGCTAATTTCTCACTAATTAATTTTTAATGTTAGTTCTCCAAACATAATAATATACTTCAAAAGTACAATTTTCTTGTAGATAATTGCTTGATGGGCAGCTGCTGATTAATGTGTAGCCATCTAGTGAACAGAGAGAGACAGTAATCTGTTATAGCTTAATTTATGTATGTTTAAACATTCTTCTGAATTGACAGATTCAAAATGTGAAGTTTGGTTAAAATATTTTCAGGCACTTTCCTATGATGTGGCAACAAACATCTGAACTGACAGACTGACTGATTCCTTACAGTTTTATTTATATAGATTATAAATAAAAATCAGTCATCATTTTTACACTTAAAGCTTAAAGAAATTTCTTTCTTAAAATGTTAAGAAATAAACTGAATTAAATATTTAAACTTTGCTTTTTTCATTAAAAAAATCAAGAAACTGCTAGAAAATGTGTAAAAAGGTTTTGTGAAACTTATTTTCATAAAATGTTTTTATTCCTACTTTAAAGAATAAAGTGCAATAATTTTGCTACTATAAAATATTGTAATCTTTTATGGAAATATACAACATATTTTTAAACATTGTAGCATCANAAAAATTATCAAACTTTAATTAAAATTTTTTGGTATCTAATTTTTATTTTGATACACTGAACCAATAGCTTTTATTTTCTGTAAAAATAAAAATATTAAAAAATCCTGCATGAGACATATTAAGAGACCAATTACAATGTTCAACTCTGCTATTATGTGTTTGAAGGTTGTGAATGGACAAACAGAAGGCTCCAAATTTTTTTTTCTTTCTTTAACTTTAAATTTTTAATAATAGCCTTTAGTTTCTTTAGAAAAAGTTGATCCATTCATAACTGATCTTTATATATCTGGAAAATTTTTTAAAGGTTCCTGTATGTTTAGGATTATTGACAATTCTTAAATTATGAAAATAATACTTTCCTAATTCTAGTTTAGAAGAAAACTGATTGATATATCATAAGTTAATTCTGTTTTGCTCTTCTCAAAAGTTTTGAAAAATTCTAATTATAACAATGTATTTCAACACAGCTGTCTTTCTTCAATCTATTTTGTCATGTAAAAATTTATATTAAAAATATTGTTTAAAGATTTTTAAAAATGAAATAAAAAGTAAATTAATATTGTACCAAAATATATATAGTGGAAACTCAATTATCCAAACTTGATGGTACCAGGGATCTTTCAGATAAATTAAAATTTCAGATAACTCAAACTCATTTGTTTTTGTGTTTTGGGCACATTAAACATTGTGCATTTAAAAAATGTTTATCTTCAAGGCCAATACTTAGAAACCTCCAATATTTTGAATTTCTTATCTAAAAGTTTCTGTACAAGCATGCATATAATTATATTTAAGAATAAAATATTTCATATCATATATTAACAACCTGTTTATATTATTGTAGTATGGCTGCTTTACTTAGTAAATTCAGAATTGATTATTCTGATGTAACTGTGATACCAGATGTTACAAAATCACCACAAGATTCCAGGTAAGAATACATAATAGTGAGGTTGTGGCTAATGTTGCCATCAGGCCAGTTTTCACTCGGACAAGCCAGTTTTTAAATTCATGGTCCGGATTGATTATTAATTTGTCCAATTTTCGTAGAAATTGTGAAATTATGATAAAACAAAATAAATTTATAAAAATATTTGCAAGTATTTTATTTTAAAGGTTAAACACTTTAACTTCACAACCCCACAAAAATTTATCCCCATCTTATCCCTAGGCTAAGAATGACAGAAAATGTACTTTTAAAATTCTAACTGCAAATATCTCTGGCAAATATTAGGTCTGTTCTGACACAAGTCCCTAACTGGTTTAAAATTGGCATGTGCATTATTCAATTCTTGGCTGTAAAATGATATTGTGCATGCCTTGTATGGTTTTAAATTCAAACCAGTCAGCAACTAGTGTTACCACCCATCCGGTTTTCACCCAGACAGTCCAGGAATTGACTCACTGTCCGGGTGAACTATTAATTTTTCTGGGAATCTCGTAGAAATTGTGAAATTACGATGAAACAAAGTTCTTGCAAATATTTTTTACAAATTTACACTATTTTAACAGCGAAAGAACTTGTACTCACTGAAACTCATCTGTAATTCTGCCATGTTCATCTGTTTACATGTGGCGTGCAATCTGTCGATCCTTTTTTTTTTCATGTACGATCATACACGTCTATGGGCTAAGTTATCTAGCACGTTATCCTTTGCATTGTAAAATGACATTGTGCATGCGTCAGGAACTTCTGTCTGAACAAACCTGGCCAGGTTAGCGATTTTCAAAAGGTGGCAACACTAGTTGCAGCCGAAGTTTTCAACATTTTCAGCGCCACCTTCCTGTAAGCCTAGAAGTTTGACAATAGCATTTGGAAGTCAATGGAATCATGCTTGATATTCCAAATGCCCTCGTCAAACCCTAGACTTACAGGAAGGCAGCGCTGAATATCCAACAATTGTGTTTTCGCATTAAAACTTCAGCTGCAACCTCACTAATTTCTTGCTCCACACACTAAATTTTAAAAAAAATATTAAATTTATAATTATTTTAATTACCTAATATGTATTTCTAGTAAAAAAGAATTTGAAAACATCATACAAAAATGGAAACATAATACAGAAAACAAAGATAACTCTCTTATAACAGAAGCAGAATTATTAGCATTGAAAGATAAGGTACTTTAAGTATTATCAGTTTCATTGTTATTTTAATATTAATACTGAATAAGTTAATTTTCATTGCAAAATGTTAGAATAATCATTTTTTTTAAGCATTCAAAGTTTTATATGTATAATTTTTGTTAAATTTGATTTTTTTTTTTTTTTTAAAGTAATAGTAAAAATGACTAAATAGAAAAAAATTACAGTAATGATTTTTTTAAAATCGTTTAAAATGGTCTTTTGAATTGCAAAAATAACAAATTTATAAAAAACTAAATAAGCTTGTGATATCCTTAAATTCTGTGAGAAATCCCTTTCTACAGATCTACAGATTATACTTTGAATTTCATTTAAATTAGAAGATTTATTAATAATTGATATTGGTCAATTAGAATTTCAAATTTTAAAGGATTGCTTTAATTGTGAAATCTTTTATAATCAGTGTAAATATGAAAAAAACTTAATGTTTTTTTTAGAAAATTCATAAAAATTTTCCTATTTTTTGTTATTTTTAATTAAAATTAATGGTTAAAATATTCTATTTAAATCTAATCAGCAACAAATGTTTTTATTTCTTAAATAAAATATAAAACAAAAGAATGATAAAAGTTAAAAGTAATCATAAATAAAAATTTAGTGACTAATATAAACTTAAAAAATGGGAAATTAATTTGTTTTTATAATCAATTAAATCTCATTCTTTATAGAGACAATTGCTAAAATTATTACTTAACACAACATAAAATATGATTTTATTTAATGTAAATTCTTTTGATTCTCTATTGAAAGTGTAAATTATGTAAAGTAAATTTTTATAAATACAATATAGTATCTGACTTCTGGTTATTTAATATTTTATTTAGTGCAGTGATGTAAGAACAGTAGCATAAGATGACTGCATCCGTTAATATTTTAAATGCATTATCTTGATATGCATTTAAAATATTAACAGATTCTCTTTTTTAAACTTTAGGAGAAAAAAGAAATAATAATGATTAAATTTTATATAGTATTTATAAATCTTAACAAAAACTATAAAGCAGCATATCAATTAATTTTTTAATTTTGATTAATGTGATATAATTTTTTTAAACGAAAGTAGTAATAAAAATCAATTAAGAAATTAGTATTTAAAATACAAAACTTTTAAATTTTGCTGTATATGTAAGATACTGTGACATGGTTTTGTTTTATATTTTTAAAAGTGACTTTTTGGCACCAGTCATCCTATTCACCAACTAAAGAAATAAAACAAACCATTATAAATTTCTAAAAATATACTTTTTAGTTTTGTTAAAAAAATTCTAAATCAAAATGATTTATAATTTCAATAANTAAAGTTAATTTTAAATAAGCCTAAAATAATTCAATCTTATAATTATTTGAAATATTACATAATCACTTTTTAGAATATCTGAAAAAAGTTTAACTCTGCTTTTAGTAATCTTTTCTGCAATAGTTTCTATTATTAATTCTTCCTCTTTTAATCTATTTCACTTTTCTTTTTATGTAAAAGTACTGAAACCAACAACTTCTTGGCTAGTCATATTATCCGCATTAATTTTAGGTAAGTCTGTAATAAGCACCTATAACCAACCAGGATAAATTTCAGATAATACTAACTGAACAAAGAAAATTATTCAAATATTTGGAAATTACAACAAAGGCAATTTTAAAGTTTAATTACTTGTTAATTGTGAAATACAATAGTTAAGATAATTTATATACATATATATGTTTATTATATATTTTAATATGATGTATTTTTATAAGTATATATTTATATTACATAATATTCTGATATAGAAATGCAAAAATGCATGAGAAAATAAAACAGCTTATTACTTCAGTTAGTATTACATTAGGTGTTGTAAATCTTGATCAGTTTGCTTTGATGTGCATTAGCAAGGAGGGAGGAGTCTATTTTAGTATAAGAAAGGTACCAGTTATATAAATTTAATAGGATCTGAAGCACATCTCTAGTTGCCAAAATATGTAGTCTTTAAATACTTCAGAGCTCCCATTTGAATAACAGGTAACTCCTGGCTAAGATTCATGAAATGACTTGCACTTTTTAATGCCTATAATTAAATAGTACATGTTTTGCTGTCTGTCAATTTCTGCTTAATTTATGGAAAGTGGTGCATCATTTTATTTACATATTTTAGTTAATATAATTTCAGTGGAGAGATGTTGGAGTCATATTGTTTATTGTCTACTAAGAGCCTAAGTTTTTTGTTCTAAATTCTACTTTTATTTTGCCAATCTAAAAATATATATTAATTTTTATAGTCATCTAAATAAAAATGAGCGAAATTCTGTTGTCTTTTATTAATAAATAGCATATATTCAAAGAATTTTTATTGGTATCAGTTTGATTATTCCTAAAGATTACCAATAAAAATTATTAGTTTTTATATCCTAGTAGAAATCAATATAGCACCATTAGAATTTCTTATTTGTTGTTATTTTTAACAGATATTGATGCAAAAGTCTTCTGTTTTTGTATCAGATAGGTTTAGGGTTTATAATGATATTTAACATAGTAAATCATTCCATTTTGAGTCTTATTTTCTATTTGGACAGATTTCCCTTTGTAAAGGTTTTACTGTATTAGGAAAGAAATGTCTTTGTGCATTAAATACATTTTAAAAGCAATGTATGAAGTTATGAAATATTAAATAGTTTATCTAAAAAGATTTTTTCCCAATACTCTTTAATCAAATAATTTTTTCTTTCTTGATAGTTTTATTAATATATACAATTACCATTACTTTGTTCTATGAGATATGGCAATACTTTGTTATGATTATACACATTTAAATTCCTGTTTAATTAATATTGTTGATCTAAGCATTGAATATTAAAAGTAACTTGATTTTGTTCATTCATTTACATATTATATAAATTGGCATCAGAGTTTGTGTAACTAGTAACTTTAGTAGTGTAATTACTATTCTCTATCAATTATCTGCCATGGAGAATAATGGAATTGTTTTTTACAAATGTAAATTTGGCTTTTATGAATATTTTTTATAATATAGCTAAGACTGTGTGAAAATGCATCTATATTATATATTGTACTATAAAAGTAATCTATATAATATGCACTATATGTACTGGACAATCTTGGACTGCCATGTAAATAATTTGTACATTCATAATGCAGTAAACAGCAATAGTTAGTTCATATTTGTGTTCTAAAGGCAGAGATTTAGATAGATTTGATTTTAAGAAATGGTAAACTGCTCAAGAGATTGTAAACTATTTTGTTCTTATGCATATACTTAGCATTTCTATAACAAATAATTTAAAGTGATATAACAATCAGATAATTAATTTGATTGATTGTACCATTATTACATAAATGTTACTGATTGCATGAATTTAACAGTATGATTCAAATATATAAGAAATTTACTTATACTAAACAGTAAATTTATTTTTCATAGAATTTTATGCATGGAAATTATACTAAAGTAACATAAACAAAGTTTTTAATATAAACTAAAAATACAGAATATATTTGTCCAATTTTACACTTTTATTCTTTATAATACTATTTGGGTTAGAAAGATTTTTTTTCAGTACAATTTTATTTTTTAAAATAAAAATTAGACTCAAATTCTTAATGATGATATTGCAGGATGCCCATCCACTGAGAAAAAACTGAAAGTTGGCCAGTCGTTTTGATTATCAGGAACTAGCATGAAATTTCATTAGACAATTTTTATTTTATAACAAAATTTTTTAGATTAAATTGTTAAATGTAAAGATTTATTTTGAACTAGAATATATTTATATAAAAAGAGCATTAAATGTCATCGTATAACCTCTTACGGAGGGTTTACCCTTACCAACAGTAGCAACCATTAAAAGATGTCCAAATGTTTTAAATAATAATAAACATCAGTTTCTAGGTTCTGCTATTTACTATCCAGTTGACTACTTATGATTCACAAACTCATTCATATTTCATTAAGTAATTTGTGTTTGTTGTGTTTGTTTATTTGAATGAAGTAACATACTATTAAATATGCTTCATTATAGATTTTGTTTAGTGTATTTAAAAACCTAATGCATTTTTATAAATTTAGTTTTTAATTTTTACAATGAATAACTAATAGATATTGCAAACTTAAGATTTTTATAAAACGATGTAGATTAAATATTTAAAAATATATTTAAAATATTTAAAATCATAATAAAACAATGACATGATCAAAAATACACAGGTTTTTTTTATTTATAATGTGATGTTTTATATTTTTCTTAGTTTGATGTGTGTTAATATTTAATATAAGAGGTTTCTCTGAAAATAATGCCTTCTATTTATTTCTATTAGAAGTACTAAAGACACCAGGAGCACAATAACATCATTGAAGAGGAATTTTTTAGTTACAAATCTCTATTTTTCCATCTACGGTAGTCACGACATTGGCCATGTATTTTTTACCAGCAATGAACCTGAATCTTTATGCTGTCTGTAAAAATTTGCACCAGTATAGGCAACTCACTTTTTCATAGCTGCAATGATGACATTATTGTCAGGAAGATGTTCTCGATTTAGTCCTTTTTTATTAACCTAAATAGATGGAAGTCTGAAGGTACTAACTCCTGGACTATATGGGCAATGTGGTAGGATGGTTCAACTGCCTTTGCAATGTTCTCAATGATCTTCAAACTGGTATATGGACTGACATTATCTCGTTGCAAACAGAAGGTTGTTTTCTCTGGCCTGACTGAAAAGTTTGGCTTTCAGTTTGATCAGCATCACAATGCAAAGGTTGATTGATTGTCCAAGCTTCAGGAAATTCAAAAGGATCATGCTTTTTTTTATTTTAAAAGATAATGCCCACTACTTTACTCGCTGATGGCTGTGTCGTGAACTTTTTATTAGCTAGAGAATTTTCATATTGCCATTCCATAGGCTGTTTGCTCTCTGATTAGTAGTGGTGACATCATGTCCATCACTAGTGATGATATAGTCTAGGAAACTAATATCCTGTTTGCACCAAGCATTTCAATCTAGATTGTGACCAAGGTCGGCGACTATGCCATGCTACGACCTCTCTCGACCATTTCAATCTCAACTGAAACGAGGTTCAATTGCGATCGATTCAAGAGAGTTCTTGAAACTAGATCCAGTCATAAGAGAGATCCCACAATCCCACGCACACGAGAAAATACAGGATGGCTGCGGAACATGTGTCGGGCTACCAACAGAGAAATAAAAAAAAGATATCTGGAGAGACATACATCTGTCTATTATTAGATATATAATAAGAAAAAGTATTTATTTCTAACCAAAACTTCCATTTTGTTTGTTGGTGTTTGTGACTTACCGTGTAGTTATGTCAATTTTATCATCGCGTGTAAAGCCGAGTTCTTCTTGAGCGGACTGCCTGTGCAAACAGCACGACGTTCGACTGGCGACAGTCACATCCAGACTGTAGGTAAATCGAGATCAAAGTCAGTCGTGGATTGTGTGTGAACATAGTATAACTGTCCCTTTTGAGTCTTATGCAGCAGGTCCTGACACACTTGCATTCGATAATCTTTGTTCCTATATATTTGTAATACCTATGTGGCAGAAACTTTGCAATATCCCAATGTTGTTAACAGTGCCATACCTACAGAGACTGATGCAGCTAAGCCCTTTTAAAAAATATACTAGTCTTAGCTTAGTGCAACAGTGTCCATATACAACATATATAATATACATATTCCTTTCCTCGTTTAAATTTAGGTTATTATTGCATTTTTACACTTGGACTGTAGCTAATAGTGCTGGATGGAAAAGAGAAATATACCAGTCATTAATCACAACCTGTTCTCTGTGCTGTTTTTTGTCTCAACTTTTTTATTGTGCATCCAACCTTTGTCCTTTGCATCATATGATAATGTAAACCTGTTTTTAATAGATTAAATTAGTAATAATCACTGGGAAAATTAAAAAGTTGAAGGTATTCATTTAGGCAATTTTATCAATACCAGATTTTTTATAGGCCTATACAATTTGTTCAGTTTTTCCTTTTATTAATCTAGCTCCCCAATAATTTTTCTAACTATTAGGCTGGTTACCTACACTATTTCCAATGCTTAGATGCTAACACTCCACTCTACATACATTTTCCTGTTGTAATCTGCCAATTTTTGCAGATGAACTGATTGAGACACACTTCATCTTGTGGGTGACAGCTGTGCAAGGCCATCTGGAACATGGTTTGTCTCTCATATCATTGACACAATTGAAACATGCCACCTGCCATCTCACTGTGCTCACATCCACTGATTGGTCTTTGTAAATGATCAGTAAATTTCAATGAATGTCAATGGGTGCAATTTTTTTCACTTCAAGAAATTTGATGACATACCTCTATTTCATGTGCATGTCAAACACATATTAGACTGCTGCTGTGATGTTACCTGCCACATGACAATCAAATTTATAGGATAGTGGCGGAAAAATTTAAACACTACCACCAACATCTATCTCCAATATCCTGTACTATCATAATAAAATAGTACACATTATTTTCGGAGCAACTTGCATAAATAAAAAAAATTAAGTTGTACTTAAAATAACCAATGATAGTTTTTATTATTAACAATTTCTTCTTACAACAATGATTAGTAAATGGGAGATCAATAAGATTATAGAGATAAAAATCATACTTTCTATCAAATGATTCATTTACTAATAAAGATTGAAAGTTAGTGGGAAAGCCATTAATTTTTTGATACATCAATTTTCATATTCTTATTTGAAAATAAGAATTATAAATAATAATATTGTTTAAAATTTACATTAATGAAATAAAGTATAAACAATTTGAACTCTCAATATAAGCTTCCGATCTGTATTACCAATTAATTTGCAATAAATAAGTACGAACTTTATTGGCTTTTTTGTTATAATTACAGATTCATCACACACCTTTTCAATATTTTTTATTCAATCAATGCAAAATTTCCCAAGAAATTGTCAATTTAGATGATTTAAATTTTGAATCATACTGAATCATATAAACTATTTAAATTACTCAGAATAATTAAATGCACATATGATGATCCTTTTTCTGATTTTGAAATATTTTGCAGCTGAGAGTTCAAGAGAATCATCACCACCTTCAACTCCATCAGTACAGAGAATACAGAAATCAGAAGGAGTGTCTCACAATCCTCTTGGTCAAAGCCCATCTGTTATAAATAATTCTCAATATCTGAAAAGCCCAGTAAAAGATATTCCAAAAGAGGTATTAATGTCTGCTAATCAGTTCCAACGAAAGCAAAAGAAAGGCACAATAGATGTCTGGTGGTTATATGATGATGGAGGTACTAATTTTTGTTTTAAAATCTTAATACCATTTTTTAAACATAATTTATTCAGTTGTGTCTAGTTTATTTCTTGAAAATCTATGCTATTGGAAAATTATACAAAATTGATTTTACAGTGGTACCTCAGGATACGAACGCCCCAGCATACGAAATTTTCAGGATACGACATGAAATTCGAACATAATTTTACTCCGCGGTACGAACAAAAACTCACCATACGACGTTACATTAGTTCGCAGCACCATTTTTTATTCACTTCTGTACATTGTCTCAGTCCGCATGTTTGCTTCGTCGTGGAAGGATTTTTTAATTTTTTAATGTACTACTTAGCTTTAATTTGAATGTGTTTTTCGCATTGGAACGAATTATTTGGTTTAACATGTAATCGTATGGGAAAAGATGATTCACCTTACGACATTTTCACGATACGATCTCAGTTTCGGAACGGATTAATTTCGTATCCCGAGGTACCACTGTATTACAGTTTTGCATGGATTTTTTTTATAAAATGTATTATGCAATAATCAATAGTGATTAGTTTAAAAGATAGTTCTGAATACATACTTAATTTAAAATGAAATTTAATAACTGAAACTAGGTTCAATTTTTTTTATGTGAAGATATTGTAAGTTACTACCAGTTTTAAACTCAAAAAAATAAAAATAAATTTATTTTTATTAAAATAAATTCTTTATTCTTTTAGGATTAACAATGCTGATCCCTTATTTGCTTACTACACGATCTCAGTGGGGAAGTTGTAAGCTTCGAATATTTGCTTTAGCAAATAAAAAGGATGAATTAGACAGAGAGCAACGCAAGTATGAATGTTTACAGAANAAGAAGGATTAGATTATTCAGAATATGCTGATGCAGAAGAACTTGCAATACCTATTACAAATGATAAAAGTTCAAGTTTTCCTGTGCAAATAGGTATTCCTGAAAATACCATTGGAAGAAATATATCATGTTCTCAGTTGTCACAAGGTAATATTTTTAAATTGGATATTTTAAGAATGAAAAAATATTACATTTTAAAATAACTTAAATTTTTAATATAATAATTTTTCATAGATTGTAACCTATAAAAAAAATATAAACTTTCTGTAATGTAAAATCAAACATATTATATTTATCTTACAAATTCTAACATGATTTTAAATTACATTTTTCTATTTCATCATTTTATTTAGATGAAATTAATTCAGTTATGAATGTGTTATGTAAACTACATTGAAAATAAATTTTCAGCAATGTTACATTATAACTCTATACTATTACAATAGTTTTATATTTAAATTTTCATAAAATTTATTATTAAATCAGAGTTATTGTTCACAATTTTATAAACAAAACATAACATTTTATTATTAATAAACACCTCATCTTCTTATGAGACAGTAAGCATATTAAACAACAGATATGTTTTATCTTGATGTGGCCTAAAGTTGGCTAATTTTCAGACTTATCACACTTGACTTATCTACACAAGATGGTTGGATTGATGCGGGACTAAGTCTGAAATGCATTTCCAATGTCAACAAAAGCGCATATTTTTTGGATTAAAAAAAATAATAGGAAGAAATATGTTTTATTTTTATTAAGTATTTTTGTGATTAAAGTATCTTGATGTGGTCTAAATTTGGCTAATTTTCACACTTACCACACCTTGTAGGTCAAGTGATGAAAACTGATCTCTGAATCAGTTTTCATCTGCGAGTAACTTAGATTTTACAAATACATGTGCCGGACTGTGAACGGCTTATGTATTTGTAAAATCTAAGTTACTTGTACAACATGGAATTCATATAAAACAGAATAACCAACAGTGTTATAGGGGGAGTTGACTGTATTGATGTTTGTGACATGAAATATATTTTTTGTCACAATCCAACAAAATGCAATAAAAATTGTTGTTATAAAAAAAATTTTAGTTAGAAATTTTTTTATAACAACAGATATACTCATATTTGAACCACATAAAATTCTTGTGAAAAATAGATAATGCCAAGTAATAAACACAATAGTTTTAAGTATTTGAATTAAATTTCACTTGTCTTTCTACTAACAACCTAATCAATCTTAGGTCTTCAATCTAACTATTATTAAAATTACTCTCTCTTTTATTTTCTTTGTCATTGATATCATTTGCTGACAGATAAACTTACAGATAGAATGTCTTTCAAGAACCCAATATATTGGGATCAAATTCTTCAATATATTTTATGTTAGAAATGATAATCTTTCTAATATAATCCTATTTCAATATGGTTCACAAAAAGAATTAATTCTAATTACTAAAATGAGGATGGTTCAAATGGAAACAATAATTTTGTTAAAGTCATATTTATTGCTCATCAGGTAATTACATTTGTATTTGCTTAATGCATACATTTTACAACATAATTAATTTCTTACATTTAAAATAAAATTCAATAAAATTTTAGTGCTGGGACAATACATATAATGTTGAGGAAATTTTGTAAATTTTTTCAAAATTATAAGTATTGTCCTGGCAGTAAAATTTTATTGAATTTTATTTTAAATGTATAAATTTTATAAGTGTTTTTTGCCACCACCATGTATTGATGATTTGTAATGTTTTGCATGCCAAAGCAGGGAAATAGCCACAGATAAAAGTCAACTCTATTGCAAGATTGTTATTCCTGTTTAAGAAAGAACAAAAGGAAGGAGGACACTCTCTGAGTTTGTCCATAAGAAATTTTTTCAAAATTATATCATTTTCTCTCAATACATTACTCAGCATGTGATTAATGTATGAAGATTTTGTTGTTTGAACATGCATTCCTGCACAACTGGTTTTATGTTCTTATTATTTTGAAAATGTCTTTTCCAAATGATTCCTTTAACGATCCAAAAAGCTGGTAATCATTAGGGAGATGATATCTGGAGAGTGGAGTGGATACAACAGCACCTTCTAACTTCAGTTTTGCAATTATAGGCATCATTTGGCATGAGGAATAGTCATGCATTATCATGTTGATGGCCTAATTAGGACAGCAATCTTCTATCTTTGTTTCTGAAAGGTTTCAGGTGATTCTCTAGCAGGTTGCAATATATGTTGTATTCGCTGTAGAATCTTCTGTTAGGAAGTGTACCAAAAAAAGGATATTCCAAAAATAAAAAAATAGTCAATGTGAACTTTCTGGCTGTCATGATGCTCAAAGGTTTTTTGATTGGGTAATCTAGATGGCACCTCTTATGCTAGTTCATTTACTCTCTGGCTGAAAATTACTGTATATATACATATCCATTACATAGGTGTTATGTCTGTAAAATAAATGACTTCTTGTTAACATATATAATTAAAACTTTATTATAATACAAATGTAGCTTTGTGCCTACAAGCAGGGCTGGCCTGAGAAATAGTGGGGCCTGGTGCAAAGTTGTTGTAATATATGTTGAAGATTTAGATAAACATTAAATGTAATATAATATATGTTGACAATTTAAAACAAAGGAAATGTAATCGAGAGGTGCCGAGGTGGCGGGAGAGAAAGCGAGCGAGATAGCTCGAAGTAACCAGCTGGATGTAGAAGTGTTTAGTTGTATTATTAAAGAGTTATTCGTACCATAGTATCTGGTCAGTTGAGTCGTTTATAATACATGGTGGCAGCGTAGAGGAAAATGTATCAGATCCCAGCGCCTGAAGTTTTTAATTTTCGTCCGGAAGATGGGAGAACATGGATAGGACGTTTCGAACGATTTCGAACAGCGTCTGGACTCCATAATAAAGAGGAAACTGACCAGGTAAATTCTTTCATATATTTAATGGGACAGAAAGCCGAGGAAATTTTGGCGTCATTTAGTCTCCCAGAAGAGGATAGAAATGACTATTCAAAAGTTAAGGCTGCATTCGAAAAATACTTCGTCCCAACTAAAAATGTTATATACGAAAGATATAAATTCTATTCTCGGTTTCAAGAAGAAGGAGAAACAGTGGAGAACTTCGTGACTTCATTATATAGTCTGGTTAAAACGTGTGATTTTCCTGCTTCGTTTCAAGACGAAATGATTAGGGATAGAATAGTTTGCGGCATTAGAGACAAAAAGGTTTCGGAACGTTTGCAACTTGAAACGGAACTAACTCTGGAGAAAGCAATAAACACTGCGAGACAGGCTGAAACAGTAANTTTTAAACCAAGTAGAAATATATATTTTATATTAAGTATTACAATTTAATAAAATATATTAAAGTTAGAAAAGAATCCATTTATCCAAAGAATGTATATAAAAATTTATCATTTTGTTTAGAGTAAAATAATATAATTTATAAGTCCTTGACAATATTTGAACATTTAATAATATTTAACAAAAGCAATTGTTTAATGCTCATAGTGAAGTTTGACAGAAAGTCTATTTTAAAAAATATAAATTTATTGAATTATTAATTAAATATATTGTAGAAACAAATTTTTGATAGAGATCATATCTACTCAAAGATGATTTAAATAGTTCCTATCTATACTAGTCATTTATAGTGCTACACATTATAGTGCTTTCTGTGATTTATTTTTTAATATAGAAATCTGTTCTTAATGGCATTGTATTATTCTAATTATTTAAATTGTAGAAAAAAATGTTTAATTAAATATATTTTTGTAATGCAAATTGCTTTTTGTGGAATTAAAATTTTTATAAATTAAATGCTTTTAGGCTATACAAGCATCATGAGAATAGATTGAAGAGATACTAGATTCAGTTGGTTTAAAGTCGTATTCTCTCTCCAGTTTAGTTAACTAATGACATGAAACTTTAAAATATTTATATTTTTGTTATTTTATTTAATAAAAAAAAAGTATAGAAAAATTTAAATCAAAAATAATTTTGAGATTAATAATCATGTTGTAAAAAGAAATCATTTGTGTATGAATTTTGCTAAATATTGTTTTTAATATTTTTAATATTGTGTTATCTTTTTAATCACTTCAATTGTTTAATATTGAAATGTTTTTTTTCTATTTTAGAGTAATAGGCATATGCGATTAAGAGAACTACTACTGCAGCATTCAAACGAAGCATCTCTCATTGTGATGTATGTAGACATTCCTATATTCATATTATAAAATTTATTATAAAATTCTAACTTTGAGTTAAAATTTCAGGACGCTTCCAATGCCTCGTAAGAGTACCTGTTCAGCACCTTTGTATATGGCCTGGTTAGAAATGTTAACCAGAGATATGCCACCTTTTTTACTGATTAGAGGAAACCAAACAAGTGTGTTAACTTTTTACTCATAGAAGATTGCCCTATAAATACAGAGGAGATCTTGCAGAGTTCCTACTCCAGATTGTATCCATAATAGCAACAGTCTGAACTTTAACTTATTCTCATTTACTTAATTGTTAATTGCCAAATGAACAATGTTTTTTAAGGATTGGAGCATTCTAATCTTGACAATAGTCACCGAATAACCTATTCATTTGGAAATTCATCATATTGATTTCATTAGTAACCTATTCCATTATGTTGTAATATATTTCATTTTTTTCTATTCATTAATATTTTATAAAAAAAATTTAATTATTAGTTTAATTGATGTTTTAAATCTAAATATTGATGAAAGCATCAAATTGAAGAGGAAAAATAACCTCTTGTCTTGTCTTTTTTTACTAACAAAAATTTCATTAAATTGAAAATGAAATTGGTACTGTGTAACAAATGGGTTAAAATGTCTTCCAAATACCCATTAAAATGTAGATATATATATGTGTATTGCTTATTTTCATAAATAGCATATGTAAATTAATCTGAATTGTAGATATGATCACTATAAATTATAAACTTTTTGATAGTCTTAATTATTTTATTACCAAAACCATTTTTATATTAAAATTGGAAATTACATCAATTAAAAGTTTTTGCTACAAAATACATGAAGTGAATTGGATTTCTTTATAAATCATCATATAGATATACATACAAAAAAGTATGAATGTTTTTTATCGAACACATTGTGTTCAGTTTGCATAATCTACACCATCTCGGCTGAGTTAAATGGTGGTGTAGCATCCTATTTAACTTTCATGTAAGAAAAGACGCATTCTAATTCTTCAGCAGTAGTGCTCTCAGTTTGCTGATAGAGTTCTTTTGAGCCAGCAGTGATTCCCCAATTGGCAGGCTTTGAACAAGATGCCGAATACGGTCTACCGGTAGCCGGATTTAATGATTCCCAATAGGATTTGCGAGCTCTGGAAAGGAAAGAAAAAATTTAGTGACTTATTTTTCAATCTTGTAAATCCAGAACAATTATATAAATACCTTGCTCGAACCCATGGCTTAGTATGCATTTTTAAACCTTCACCCCAAGGTTCATGTTTTTCCGAAGCTTCAGGTAGTTGCATTCTTTCCTTAGCTAATTCTTCTGCAATTGCTCTAATGTGGTAAGGCTCGAATCCACAACAGCCACCGATGTAACGAACGCCTAATTCGTATGCTTCCCGTGCATATTTTTGCATATCCCAACGGGTGCAAATACGGGGTTCGAGAGCTTTATATTAAAAAATCATCATATATACTAAGAGAAAAGTTTAATAAAATGAAAGAATATAATAGTTTTATTTTTTTTACCAAAAGGAAATTCTGGAAGATCTATAAAACCTTGCTTTCCAGCATCTGGTGTATGAAAGCCCAGAGGTTGTACAATTAAATGAACATTCAAACCAGCTTTTGTGATTGCTTCTTTCATCATTCTTAAAGTATTTAATGATACAAATGGATCAAAATGGCAATTCAGACCTACAACATCAGCACCTTAAAACAAAAAAATACTTCAATACATAAACGAAAAATTTTTTACCGAAAATTGATTAGATAGATCCAATAAAAACTCACCAGCTTTTGCCATTCTTACAGCACATTCACCAACTGTTACATTGTGGAGATCTCCATCTGGACCTATGCACATACTAGATACAACTGGCAAACTAGTTTCCTTGCATACTTCAATTGCCCATTCTATTTCTTCAATATGTTCAAAGTACTAATGAAAAAAACGAAGAAATTTTAATATAGAAAATCTATAATGGTCAGTTCAACAGAGTGGATAGTAATTAATCTGCAATGGTTACCTCACAAATGAGAAAATCTACTTTGTTATCCAAAAATACTTGAATCTGTTTTCTGAATTCGGATTGAACTTCACTTTTGGATTTTCCACTTAAGTAGGAAGGTGTTTGACTAATACCACCAGCAACTAGAGCGTTCCCTTCATCAGCCACTTCTTTAGCTAATTCACAAGCTGCTTTGTTAATATCCTTGCCCTGAAATAAAATTAAAAAGTAATTACAAAATAATTACTTTGAGGATTACATTTAGAGGAAAAAAAAGAATAGTTTGAAATAAATCTCATTTTAAGAAGAACACACAAAAGTTACCAAGAATGTTTGTTTTTCAAAAATTTCTTGAAATATCTCAAAGAAATTTGGTTTTTTTCCCAGCAAATAGCTTGAATTCGTTGTTTTTTTTCATTCTGAACGAAATCCTACTTCAGTAGTATTACATTGTTAGAACTTGGCACGACTTATTTTATCTGGATAGCAAATCATAACGGTGTTATGGTTTGCTATCCAGACAGAAGGATAACAGACACCTTTCAGCAAGGTTCAATAATTTAAATTTAAAAAAAAAATAAATAAATTGTTTAAGATTTACTCACAGTATATTTCTTTCCAGCTTGATTTCCCCTGTTAATAAGTTTATCATCACTGGCATAAAAAGTAAACGCCTGCATGACATCAGATCCTGCTCTCAAAAATTCTCTATGCAACTGTCTCACTGTAAACAAAAAAAAAATTTTTTTTTGTATTAATTTCTGAAATAATAAAAATTATTTTCATTAGTTACGATGTTGATTTACCTGCTTCGGGATGTTCGACAGAAGCTTCGGGGGTCCAAGGACCAGCTTTAACGTAACCACGTTTTTCCAACGAAAACACAAAACCTCCATCACCAATAACTACGCTGTCGTTCAAGCGTTGCAACAAACCTTTCTTAACCTGCAACATGTTTAAAGTGTGAACACACTGAGTAAAATTTCCCAGAGTAACTGCATAAATCTTAAATCTACCACTTCGAAATTACAGTTACGCGTTTTGGAGACTTGTTTTCTTTTTTTTTGGCAACGAGTCAAACTCGTCGTTTTCCAAAATTAGGATCTTAAACGTAACGACCAAAAAAAAAACAAAAAACCTTACCTTGTGTTGGGACATGTTTGATGGGAAACAAGCAACTTCTGTGACGACTTCGTTGTTCTGCAAAATTTGGCGGGAAATTTATACACTGCGAGAACACGTGATAGCGCTTTAACCATAGCTTTTACAGGTGTCGAACCACGTGGTCGATTTTAATTATACGCCTTTGCCATGACTTAAAATGTTCGGATTTTTGCATGAGTAGAGCAATATCCTATATCGATTCGCATGCAAAGAGTTAAATTTCGATCAACTTTATGAATTTGTCAAAATTTGTCGCAGTCCATCATGAAAAATGCAATCTACCCTCGCTTATTTTAGTAGATCCTCCGCTTGTCAACGTTAAGAGTTTATCTTTCAATAACAGTTATCGTTTCGAAGATCTTATTGACGTAATTTTTTTTTTATTTTGAAAAATAAATGATGATAAATTTTGTTTAATTTAAATTTTACTAATTGACATTCTACTTTTTACATTATTATAAATATAATAAAAGGGTAGAAATGTTATTTTTAGCATTTTAATTCTTTATTTTAAGTTAAAATTGATATTTAAAACCTAATAAACGTTATATATTTTTAAATACAAGAAAATTTTAATGGTATTTTTACGTATCTACGAACAGTTTAAATTAAAAAAAAAAACAAGCCAAAAACTTTACAACAAGAGCCTTGTGTTTCGTCATACTGATATGTTGGAATAATCTAAAACTCGAATGACCTTTGCTTTTTTTCACGAACAAGTTCAATAGCAGCCTTCAGAATATAAATGAAAATAAACCTGGCTGGCCCCAGGACAGTTTGCACTCATTTATTACGTAATTCTACGATTAAAAAAAAGTTACTAAGCTAAGTATTTGTAACCTAAAAACGATACAAATTGCAGGAGAATGCGATTTAGAAGTTAAAAAAAAAAGTATATATATATAGTTGTTATTTAAAAATAATTTTAATTTAATACGAATAATTCTTTTAATTATATTTTAAGAAAATGAATTTGTTTATACTCGTGTCCTATCAAATGATTCCAAAGTAAGATAAAATATGGTTATTTTTGCAGATAACGTGATGGTCTTCGAGTTTTTTCTCTCTAAACTCGATTTAAAATTGTGAAGGACGAGGATGAGATTAATTAGAGAATACTTTAGCCTTTTTCGTAGAAGAATTTTGTCTAGGAATTCTCGAAATTCCTGGTTTCGTCCTTACGTCTCGGCAGCGAATGGAAGAAATGAAGATCGAGGGTAATAATTTATCAATTGTATAAAGTTCATATTAGACTTTTAACGAATATTGTGAAATATATATATAAATTNTTTAGTTGTATTATTAAAGAGTTATTCGTACCATAGTATCTGGTCAGTTGAGTCGTTTATAATACAGTTGTTGAACTGGGCATTTTAATAAAAACAACAAAATAATATTTTAATGGTAAACATACTATCCGTTAAAAAGATTAGGAAAGTTAGTTAACTTAGCGAAAATGAAATGATCAATTTCCCAAGAATTGGATCATGCAGGATGTGTCTTGTGCAGTTGCACTGTTCACACCACTCACTGGCTGGCCCTGCTTACAGGTCTAAGTGTCACCACAGTTAACGCATGACTGCCTGGAGACAAAGGAACATGGCAAAGGTCAAAAGTATGGGGTTGCCTAACTAGGTCAAGGGGCAATTTGGTGTGGGTTATCCCCTGGAGGTTTACATACATGACAATAGGACTATAACATATCCACGATTTTATTTTCTAGTCATAATGCAAGAAAGAAAATCATTGCCTTTGTTATGGACTGGTAACGTAATCTAAACATTGACCCATCATTACTTCAGTCCAGATGTAAAATGGTATAATGTCTATTACAGATTTACAACTTGTCATAGACAAAATCATACATGGAACCAACACTCATATTCAGCAATCATGTCAACAATATTTATCTTGCAATCCTTAAGCAATTTTTAGCTTATATGGTGATGGTTGGAATAATGATGGAATTACAGATATCTAAAAAAAAATCTCAAAATTTAGAATTAAGTTCTTGATATTTCAGATAATTTATTCTTATTTATTATGAAATCAATTCTCTAAATTTTAAAGAATAAATAAGAATTTTTATACAATTAATTTTTAAAACAATAATAAATTTGCATGTAATATGTTGTTTTTATCATATATAATTCATTAAAAATTTTTTTTCTATTAACTGCAATTTTTAATCTCATTTTATGTAATTTCAAAAATGATGACAAACTAAAATTTTCATCCTAAATTAAATTTGTTTTTTCAGTAATATAACCTTATTTCTAATGCCTATTTTAAGATTTTTTAAAAATATTAAAACTCAATTTTATAAAGTTAATTTTAAATAAGCCTAAAATAATTCAATCTTATAATTATTTGAAATATTACATAATCACTTTTTAGAATATCTGAAAAAAGTTTAACTCTGCTTTTAGTAATCTTTTCTGCAATAGTTTCTATTATTAATTCTTCCTCTTTTAATCTATTTCACTTTTCTTTTTATGTAAAAGTACTGAAACCAACAACTTCTTGGCTAGTCATATTATCCGCATTAATTTTAGGTAAGTCTGTAATAAGCACCTATAACCAACCAGGATAAATTTCAGATAATACTAACTGAACAAAGAAAATTATTCAAATATTTGGAAATTACAACAAAGGCAATTTTAAAGTTTAATTACTTGTTAATTGTGAAATACAATAGTTAAGATAATTTATATACATATATATGTTTATTATATATTTTAATATGATGTATTTTTATGAGTATATATTTATATTACATAATATTCTGATATAGAAATGCAAAAATGCATGAGAAAATAAAACAGCTTATTACTTCAGTTAGTATTACATTAGGTGTTGTAAATCTTGATCAGTTTGCTTTGATGTGCATTAGCAAGGAGGGAGGAGTCTATTTTAGTATAAGAAAGGTACCAGTTATATAAATTTAATAGGATCTGAAGCACATCTCTAGTTGCCAAAATATGTAGTCTTTAAATACTTCAGAGCTCCCATTTGAATAACAGGTAACTCCTGGCTAAGATTCATGAAATGACTTGCACTTTTTAATGCCTATAATTAAATAGTACATGTTTTGCTGTCTGTCAATTTCTGCTTAATTTATGGAAAGTGGTGCATCATTTTATTTACATATTTTAGTTAATATAATTTCAGTGGAGAGATGTTGGAGTCATATTGTTTATTGTCTACTAAGAGCCTAAGTTTTTTGTTCTAAATTCTACTTTTATTTTGCCAATCTAAAAATATATATTAATTTTTATAGTCATCTAAATAAAAATGAGCGAAATTCTGTTGTCTTTTATTAATAAATAGCATATATTCAAAGAATTTTTATTGGTATCAGTTTGATTATTCCTAAAGATTACCAATAAAAATTATTAGTTTTTATATCCTAGTAGAAATCAATATAGCACCATTAGAATTTCTTATTTGTTGTTATTTTTAACAGATATTGATGCAAAAGTCTTCTGTTTTTGTATCAGATAGGTTTAGGGTTTATAATGATATTTAACATAGTAAATCATTCCATTTTGAGTCTTATTTTCTATTTGGACAGATTTCCCTTTGTAAAGGTTTTACTGTATTAGGAAAGAAATGTCTTTGTGCATTAAATACATTTTAAAAGCAATGTATGAAGTTATGAAATATTAAATAGTTTATCTAAAAAGATTTTTTCCCAATACTCTTTAATCAAATAATTTTTTCTTTCTTGATAGTTTTATTAATATATACAATTACCATTACTTTGTTCTATGAGATATGGCAATACTTTGTTATGATTATACACATTTAAATTCCTGTTTAATTAATATTGTTGATCTAAGCATTGAATATTAAAAGTAACTTGATTTTGTTCATTCATTTACATATTATATAAATTGGCATCAGAGTTTGTGTAACTAGTAACTTTAGTAGTGTAATTACTATTCTCTATCAATTATCTGCCATGGAGAATAATGGAATTGTTTTTTACAAATGTAAATTTGGCTTTTATGAATATTTTTTATAATATAGCTAAGACTGTGTGAAAATGCATCTATATTATATATTGTACTATAAAAGTAATCTATATAATATGCACTATATGTACTGGACAATCTTGGACTGCCATGTAAATAATTTGTACATTCATAATGCAGTAAACAGCAATAGTTAGTTCATATTTGTGTTCTAAAGGCAGAGATTTAGATAGATTTGATTTTAAGAAATGGTAAACTGCTCAAGAGATTGTAAACTATTTTGTTCTTATGCATATACTTAGCATTTCTATAACAAATAATTTAAAGTGATATAACAATCAGATAATTAATTTGATTGATTGTACCATTATTACATAAATGTTACTGATTGCATGAATTTAACAGTATGATTCAAATATATAAGAAATTTACTTATACTAAACAGTAAATTTATTTTTCATAGAATTTTATGCATGGAAATTATACTAAAGTAACATAAACAAAGTTTTTAATATAAACTAAAAATACAGAATATATTTGTCCAATTTTGCACTTTTATTCTTTATAATACTATTTGGGTTAGAAAGATTTTTTTTCAGTACAATTTTATTTTTTAAAATAAAAATTAGACTCAAATTCTTAATGATGATATTGCAGGATGCCCATCCACTGAGAAAAAACTGAAAGTTGGCCAGTCGTTTTGATTATCAGGAACTAGCATGAAATTTCATTAGACAATTTTTATTTTATAACAAAATTTTTTAGATTAAATTGTTAAATGTAAAGATTTATTTTGAACTAGAATATATTTATATAAAAAGAGCATTAAATGTCATCGTATAACCTCTTACGGAGGGTTTACCCTTACCAACAGTAGCAACCATTAAAAGATGTCCAAATGTTTTAAATAATAATAAACATCAGTTTCTAGGTTCTGCTATTTACTATCCAGTTGACTACTTATGATTCACAAACTCATTCATATTTCATTAAGTAATTTGTGTTTGTTGTGTTTGTTTATTTGAATGAAGTAACATACTATTAAATATGCTTCATTATAGATTTTGTTTAGTGTATTTAAAAACCTAATGCATTTTTATAAATTTAGTTTTTAATTTTTACAATGAATAACTAATAGATATTGCAAACTTAAGATTTTTATAAAACGATGTAGATTAAATATTTAAAAATATATTTAAAA